TTTGATGTCAGTATAACTTGTGGAGGAGATGGGGACAAACAAGTCGTTTAAGGATTCAGGTGGACCTGTTGCAACAATGCGAAGTACAAAATGTCATGTCAAAAACGAGCTTTACAATGTCGGTGTGGGGGGGGGGGAGGGGGTGAAGGATTGGGTGGGGGGGAGGGGGGAGGCTGGGAAGGGAGGTGAAGGGTAAACAAAGGAGGAGGCTGCAATGCTTGGTAAGAAATGTATGCATTATCCTGCCCATGTAATTGTAACCCCTCTGTACAGTATGTTCTCAAATAAAATAAAATTTAAAAAAAAAAAGAAAAAAAGAAAAAAATGCAATCTATGGAAGGAGTTGTGAGATGCGCGCGTGCACACACACACACACACACACACACACACACACACACACACACACATCCATGTTACTATTTACTATCCATATTTTGTAACATTTTCCTCAAGCCCCCTTCCATTCAGTTTCTCTTTCAGCTCCATCTCATCCTCCTGCAGACCTACAGCATGCAATAACATTGGCTTTTCTAACTTCATTTCTACAGAATCATTTCGTATGCACCCTTCTGAAAACTAGACTAATTTTGAGCTTTGTGTATGTCACAGCATGTAGCAGTAGTTTATTCTTCATTATCACTTGAGAAGAACACTAGTATATAAACTTACTGCTTTTTTTTTTTTTACATTCTGCTGTGTGTTTATTCATTCAACTGAGGACAGAGCCCAGGCCCAGAGTTCAAGACCCTCGCCCAGACAAAAAAAATACTATATTCAATATTATCCGTTCTAGTTATTGGTCTCATTTAATTTTATATTTCCATTTTAAATTTCTGAAGGTAACAGGATACCAGGAGATATGTTTAAACTTTACAAAAGGAAACTTTTTTATACTGTTGGTAGTAATATAAATTAGTACACCAACATAGAAAATAGAATTCAAAATAGATAGGCTGGAGATGTGGCTCATCAGTATCACACTAGCTTCCCAAGTGCCAAGGCTCTGAGTTCAAGTCCTCCAAAAGAATTCTAAATAAAACTACTATATGTTCATGCAATCCCACTTCTGAGTGTATTTTAAAAAGAAATCATTATGTGAAGGAGTTATTTGCCCTCCCATATCCATTTCATCTTTATTCAAAATGGCCAATATATATAGAATTGATATTGGTTGATAAATATGTGGCTACAGCAAAAGGAGGTATAAACTTATACTGGAACGTTTGGCTTTAATCAGAAGAAATCCTGTCCATTGTGCAAAAATAGATGAAACTGGAGGACATTATACTTGGAAATTTCACTGATGTGTAAAGTCTTAAAAAGTCAAGGTCTATTTATCCAAATGAACTCCAGGAAATAAAAACAAACTTTTTTTGCTGTTTTAGTTTTCTTTTCGTTTGTCCTGTTTGTGCATTTATACTTGTTTGGGAATATAAGGGGAGGCACAGAAATGGAGGGACAAAGGGGTAAACAAATGCAGCAGTGGCACTCATTGGACGCTATGTCGAAAATGTACTATATACTTTGTGACTGGGGATGGGAAAGAAAAATTGGGAGAGTGAGAGAAGGGGTGACATTGTCCAAAAAGATATGTACTCTTTACCTCATTTATGTAACTGTAACCCCTTAGTATGTCACTTTTATAATAACAATAATTTTTTAAGTCATGGTCAAAGGAGCAGAGAATAGCATTCTTGTTGTCAGGGAGGGACTGTGGTAGTTGTGGAGATGGGATTTCTTAGCTGCATAAAGTTAGGGAGGGTCGCATTTAAGTTAGGGTCAGAAAATTCTTCGTATCTCATGCAGCCTGGTGACTACAGTTAAGAAAAATGTATGCCTGAAAACTGCTAAGAGGATTAATATTACATGTCATCACCATAAACATCAAAGTTGTTTGAGTGATGAGTTTTTTAGGTAACTTGATTATACTTAATCACTGTACAATATACATAATACACACATAGAAACATCAAATATTATATATATATTTATTTTTTGTCAATTATTTCTCAATGGGGCTGGCTCTGACTGAGTGGTTTGGTAATGAATATAATTTTAAGTATGTTCACATGGTTGACAGAATTCAGACAGATCCCATGAGGTTGTAGGATTGTTTATTGTTTTCACTTTTCCTTTATTATTGCTTCTGGATCTTCGGTGATTATTTCTAGCTTTTAAAGGCATTCTGGTGTAAATTATAGATAAGCATTATATTGCAAAATATTACCTGTCATTTTAACTTGTACTTAATGCAAGTTAAATTTGACAACTTTTAAGATTATTCACCATCTCCACTCAGAGCTCAGAGCTAAATGGTCCTTTTGCTTATCATACCTATGATTGTACTATGAGTACAGTAATTCTCTCTTTAGTTTTCAAATTGCAGTTGAGTAAAGCAATTACCATTATTAGCAATTTCCATTACTGGGAATGTGTACATTAATTAAGTTTTAATGAAAAGTGGTTTATTAGATTTATTTGTTCTATAAGTTCATTCTCTTATTTTCAACTAGTAATGAATACATTGAAGTGTGGTGTGCTGGGGAAAAAACTGTGTGAACTAATGTCTGTTGTAGAATCAACCAACATTTATGGGAGAACATTCTTGGTGCAGCCTTGACTATTGTTTTGAAAACTGCATACATTTTTAAAATTTTAACATTAAAAAGCACTATATCATGAAAAACTATAAGAATAGCATTTCCTTTGTTGGCTGTTCAGTCAAATACATCCTTTCAAAAGTCCTTTAGGTAGTGTGTGTGTATGTGTGTGTGTGTATGCGTGCACGCACACATGTGAGCGTGCACGTGTGGCACATTTGAACTCTGAGCCTGAGTACTGTCCCTGAGTTTTTTGCTCAAGGCTACTAGCACTCTACTACTTAAGGCACAGGTATATTTCTAGCTTTTTTTTTTTTTTTGAACATAAGTCTCATGGAGTTTGCTGCTGAGTCTGGCTTCAAACCATGATCTTCAGATCTCAGCTTCCTGAGTAGCTAGGATTATAGGTTTGAGCTACCAGTATCCAGCCTTCTTTAGTTTTAAATTTACTTCTTTATGTTTTACACCAATGACACTTAAATAATGATATTTATTACTTTGCTAGATAAGAGCATATTCAGAAAGAACATAGTTTTGTTTTAGCAACTCAAAAAGAATCAAACAGGATGTGATATACCTATAAAAGAAATTATTATTTGGGGTTTCTTAATTTAAAAAAAATTCAAACTATCACTATTTGGTTTATTATTGTTGCCACACTCACCAAAAGCTTTGATTTTTCTTAGGCAAAAATGTCTCCTAAAGCTTGCTTTGTGTTTTGTCATGTATAAGTTATAATACATTTATTAAAATCATGAAAATATTGATTACTTAGCTAATTATATTAAGAATAAAGACAAGGGCTGGGAATGTGGCTTAGTGGTAGAGTGCTTGCCTAGAATGCATGAAGCCCTGGGTTTGATTCCTCAGTACCACATACATAGAAAAAACCATAAATGGCACTGTGGCTCAAGTGTTAGAGTGCTATCCTTGAGCAAAAGGAGCTCTGGGACAGTGCCTAGGCCCTGAGTTCAAGCCCCAGGACTGGCAAAAAAAAAAAAAAAAAAAAAGGACAAGATTTGAAACAGAGTAGGATAATTATAAAGCAAAATATTAAAAATGTTTTCCAAGATTTTTAAATTTTCTCCAGTTTATACTAGAGTTACAAAATGAATTATAAAGCACCATATAATGTAATCAGAGAGTCACATAGCTGGTGAAGTCAATTGAGTATTAGAAGCAGACGTATCATCAGCAATAGATAATTATGACTCATTTTTGTACTGGAAAATTTCCCATTGCCCTTCACATGTGCTTGCCATCCTTCCCATTGCCCTGTGCCTTCTGCTGCTAGTTTGGTTCACTTAATGGGAAGCAATATAGGCACATGAATGGCTTGCTGCCTGGATGGAGAAGGAGGCAGAGTTGATACAGCTTCCTTTTAGAAGGCAGATTCAGATTGGTTGTATTTCTGCACATAAAGAACAAAGCTTTTTCCTCAACACTACTCTCTAGACTGGTGGTGTAGCCCAAGTGGTTGAGTACAAGCCATGAGCAAGAAAGCTGAATTAAAGTAGAAGGACCTAAAGTCAAGCCCTAGTCCTGGAAAACAAACAAACAAACACACAAACAAATAAATAAATACAGAATACTTCTAGGTTTCTCTTCTATTGTAAAGGTGCAAGCAGTTCTCTGCCTTGGTAGTCTCTGAGAACTGAGGTCTTTGGAAAGAATTTCTTCTTTTTGTTACCCCATTTCAGTGTACCCGATATTTCATTCCAAAATATTTGCAGATATAGATGATAAGTTTTTAAATTTTGCTATCATAAAAATGAGATGCACATGATTTAGTGTAAATATGACTACATAATCATGGCCTTGGTGATTAAATATTTTGCAAAAGATAAATGGTATGTCTTAGTTTTAGTCAAGTATTCCTCAAAAGAAAAATTAGTATGAATGTGAGACTATACTGATAAGGTACAATCTATATGACAAAAGATTAAGAGACAGAAAAAAGAAAAAAATTATCTTCGTAATTCAGAAGCATTTATGCCAGGCTCTATTCCAAATAAACTACATGTGCTGAACTGTTTATTTCTCACAGGTATTTTGTGGCCATTTTACAGATGTGAAAACTGAAGCACAGAACAGTTTGGTAGACCTGTTGGTCTGATTGTATGACTACTTTTTAGTTTTGCTAATACAAGTGCTAAGTTATAACAAGTATGTTATATGACTGGACAAGCTTATAATAGCAGCATAATAGAGGCCATATGAATTTTGTTGATAAATTGCATTTGATCAAATATGTGAGTTTAAATTCAAATTGTTCCTAATAAGCTGTTCTTAAGCTTGATTTTCCACATATCATAAATTTGCATAATGTCTATTGTGTACTGTTAGTGAATTTGTATTTTAATCAATTTTTTCTAATGTAAATTTAATGTCTTTCTTTAGGCTGATGGCTTTTAGCAAGTCACCTAGGGTTCATAAAATTGGCGCCATGTCTTCCGCTTATCAAGAAGAACTTTTGCAATTTCACTTAGAAAATCTGAAAGGAAAACAGAGCCAAAAACTAAGGTAAATTAGAAAACAATGTATTATTAGAGTATGGATCATATGCATTATGGAAAATTTAGAAAACTCAGAAAATCATGAAAAACTAAAAAAAAATGACATATTGTTTGGCCAAAGGTAAAGTGTTAAATATTACTATTTTTCAAATAGCTTCACTTATTTAATCGTCATAATTATTTTGGCTATTTTTAATTTTATGAATTTTATCTGGACTTGTGAATTATACACTTTTATTTGATATGAAAATTATATATGTATTTTAATTTGCCATGGCAATACATAATATGTTTAAGATAAAGTCTTTAATAGCCTCTACATTGTAAATCTCTATAGTTATTTCTTAGTCTTTTGTTGTTTTTATTTAGCCACAATAAAATGTTTTTTTCTTTATTTGAAGTTATTTTCTTCGGATAAAATTTCTAAAGGGATTGCAACTTAAAATAACTCACAAAAATTTTACTATTTTATTTACATATACTATTTTATTTATATATACTATTTTACTATTCTCAAGGAATGTGTTTTCCTTAGTTATCTTTTGTGTCCTTTTTCTAATACCACAGTAATACATGTATAAAGGAGCAGGAAAAGTCATTACATATCAAGAGCTCTAGCATGGAGAACATGAAATTCATATTACACCGTCCAAAATTGTGAGTGGTTTTGCTGTAATTTATGTAAACATATATGTAACATAAACATAATACAATGGTGCCTCTAAATCCTCATGGATACTAGAAATAAAAAGCAGCAGGACCTAATTAAACATTGACTAGACAATTGTTTAATAGAAAAATGATAAGTAGAGGAAAAATAATTAGTACAAAACTATTTGCAGCAATAGTATTGATAGTGTGGCTCAGTCAGTCAAAGGGTTGCCTAGTAAGCATGAGGTACTGAATCAAACCCCAGAACCACCAAAAAAAAAAAGATCACAGAAAGATTAATTACATTTAAATTTTCAAATAGCCTAAATGCCTAATATAGAGTGGCCTAGAAACTGAAGTACGTCTATATAGGGGAACATGCTGGAAATGCTTATAAGAAGAAAATGGAAATTTTAAAACATATTATTCATGCAATAATAAAGTGATTATAGCAAATGTAGATTCCACAATTCATAAGGAATGAGTTTATTTTATAGAAAGTTAATCTCTTCATGAAATAAATTTAAAGAAGATATTAATAGATATCTGGAGGAGGATAGATTCTTCATCCAAACTCATCTGAAAAGTACTGAGGAAGTAAAAGTTTTCTTTATTTCAAGAGTTCTCAGATTTTAATACGCTAACATGCAATGTCTATGTACATTAAGAGGACAAAATGGCAGAGTTCCTGCTATTTATGCAGCCCTTTCCAACAAAATGAACCCATGGAACATACTGTAAGGAGTATTCATTTACACTGAATGTGCATTAGTTTTTCCCCCCACTGGAAAAAGGTCATGCCACAAAGTGTAAACATATATATTACTTTTTAATATTTGATCCATAAAAACACTGAGGATATTTTCTAAATATGTTTAGCTTTTATTTATATTGTATTTTGAAGGTGTATTTAAATAAGATTACACTTAACACTTTTATCTGTGACTTGACTTTTATTATTATTATTTTTTGGTCGGTCGTGGGGCTTGAACTCTGGGCCTGGCCATTGTCCCTCAGCTCTTCAGCTCAAGGCGAGCACTCTACCGCTTGAGCCACAGCACCACTTCCGGTTTTTTGGTGGTTTATTGGAGATAAGAGTCTCACGGACTTTCCTGCCCAAGTTGGCTTTGAACCATGATCCTCAGCTCTCAGCAGCTAGGATTACAGGCGTGAGCCATCAGCTCCCGGCTTGACTTGACTTTTTAAAAAGCAGGTTGCAAGAATTATATCTCTCAGTAGACCACAGAATGTAGAAATTAGTACGGGTTATCCACTTCCTCCACTCCCTCCAGTCTACTATTTCCCTTAGTCAGGATTTATCTGATAGGTGCTAGCCAACAAACATTTCCATGTTATATTGTCTGGTTCCTAGCTATTTAATGTATGGAAGGAGAAAGGAGGAAGCTCAGCATCTGGGTAATAAAAGTCAAAAACACCTTGAGGAACTCTTAAGAATCTGAACAACATTTATGTCTAATGTAGGCACTGATCAGTAAGACCCTCCAAAGTGCCGTACCCTCTCATTTTGGAGAATATTTCCATATATCAGGATTTTATTATTATTAAATCCAACTAAGTTTCACTGATCTCATAGCCTACTATAGGAGAAAAGTAGAGCCACAGGTGACCTATATCATCTATTCATTTTTCTAAGTGTTTCAAATGTCCTGGAAATGTATTTACACAGCTATTCCTCTATGCTTCAAAAATTATTCAGATCTCAGAATCGTCATGTAATTTGACCCGAACACAAATCTGTTTCTTGCCACGTTCCATGCCCAATGCATTGTTCAAATCGTTAAACTTTTATTAGTCATGGAAGCTAAAACATCGTATCCCTAATATTACCCATCGTGTCCCCCCAAAAAGTGATTGGCTAATGAAATATGAGTCTTTTCCCCCATGGTCTGGCGTTTAACCCAAAAGGAGTATCATAGAAAGTTAGTCCTATGTTGTAGAAATGATAACCTAAGAAATCAGTCAATCGTGAGGGCACTTTGTGCTTCCCTCACACAGTTTAGGGTAAACTGTGGTCACTATGGTAGAGACTCTTGCATAGCCATACTCTATTTCTCCATACTAATTTAACTTTTAACCAGCCAATATTTTCATGTTCTCTCTCTTTTCAGAGGTTTTCTCTTGAGGGGAGGGGTCTGTTTTTGTTATTTTATTCTGCTTAAGTCTGAACCAATAAGGGTTGTCTGATTTGGAGGCTTTAGTTCAGTGGGAAAGAACTTCTCAGAACCTTAGCTGAGGTCCCCTACATAGAAAAATAGAGTAAAAGTTGTGACTGTTCTTATTCTGGCTTCCTGAGTCAGCCTCCTATCCTTCCAGACACCAGACATTCTCCACTTAGCCTGTGGCATCTCTTGTAATCTCCCAGTCAACTTATGTTCTGTTTTCTAGGCAACCAGAATTCAGTTCCTCAGTCAGAGGCTACAGTGCTCTCTCTTTCTCCTCATATATATATATATATAAATATATATAGTGTATTGAGTGGGTATCAGAAAATCAGGGGACTTTGGTGTATTTTAATTTGCATCATCTTCTTTAAGAAGCAAATATTCAACAGACCTCTACTTCCATTCATAAATTTCATTATATCTATCTTTGTGATTTTTTTGATATTTTGAAGAAATTTGAGTATTGTGAAGCTAAATTATATTTTATTTTCACATGTCTTTATTTAATTTTTAAGGTTATCTTTTACTTATTATGTATTGTATATATCACTAAATAGAAGTTTCTTTGTTTACCAAATACCATTTGTGATTGAGAAGAAATGATTAAATTGCTATATTTATTTCCCATTAAATATTTATTAACATGAGCTGTAGGAGACCAATTAAGTCATTCAACATGCACATAAAGCAGGAAGTGACTAGCTTTCCATATTTCTAATGATGTGCTACAGATAATACAATCCATATTGAACAACTGACACGTCAAATTATGTGTTACATTAATTCTAAGCATGTAAATTGAATTAGATATTATTTTCAACCAAAGTTATGTTGTGCAGTAGAAATAAATGCACAAATGTGTTTTCTTTAAAGCCTATGAAAATGAAAAAAAATATCTAATTTCACAAAATATACTTTGTGTTTGAAACCTAGGCAATGTGTTCATGGATATGTGAGGGTGCTTTGTTGTTGTGGAGTACATCTGTTTAATATTTTAGTAAGAAGGTGCATAAATTACATGCTCATTTTATAAATGGTTATGAGGAGTCATAGAGAAAAGAGCTAATAGCAAAGATTTTGTGTTAGATTTTAAGTAATGGCTTTTTCACATTTAAAAGGAAAACATTCAGCATGATACATTATCTTCCTGAGTCTCCTTTTCCTTTGCATAAAACAAAGTATGTTCTGCATATGTAATATTCTATATATAAAGCAAACACCAGATGTTCACTAAGCAAATTGTATATGCAACAATAAAGGAAACTAAAAACTCAAGCCACCACTGCAAGAAATGTTAGACAACTTTATTAATGTTAAGTTATAGAGTATATATTTGCAGCCTGTACAGTTAGACTTGAAATGAGTTCTTAGTCTTTTGTAATTATGTGATTTTTAAGCATGTTTTTCTTCTTCCTCCCTCTCTATCACTTCCCACTTTCCCATTGCCTTCTTTCCCTCATACTTTCCCTTCTTCCCTCCCTCTCTCCCTTCCTTCATTCTTTCTCTTTCCTTTTTTTCTTGCTTTCTTTTCCTCCTACCTTCCCTCCTCCCTGACCTTCCTTTCTCTCTTTCTTTCTCTCTCCTTTCTCTTTCCTTCCTGCCTGCTTTCTTTTTCTTTCTTTCTCTTTCTTTCTTCCTTTCTCTTTCTTTCTTTCCTTCTTTCTCTCTTTCTTTCTTTCCTTCTTTCTCTCTTTCTTTCTCTCTCTCTCTCTTTTTCTCTCTTTCTTTCTTTTTTTTTTTTTTTTTTTGTCGGTCGTGGGGCTTGAACTCTGGGCCTGGGGGCTGTCCCTCAGCTCTTCAGCTCAAGGCGAGCGCTCTACCACTTGAGCTACAGCGCCACTTCCGGTTTTCTGGTGGTTTATTGGAGATAGGAGTCTCACAGTCTTTCCTGCCCGGGCTGGCTTTGAACCGTGATCCTCAGATCTCAGCCTCCTGAGTAGCTAGGATTACAGGCGTGAGCCACCAGCGCCCGGCTCTCTCTTTTCCCTCCCTCCCTCCCTTCTTTCCTTCCTCCCTTCCTCCATGCCTCCCTCCAAATACTTATAGTTTAAACCTCTAGGTATGCACTCTGTCACTTAAGCCATGTCTCCATGGTGAGTTTAAAGTATATTTCACACAGCCCCTTTGATTAGACTCCTACTTTTCCACAATTTCAACAGTAGAGTCCCAATAGATCAAAATATAATTGACAGTTTATGGGAAGAAATTTAGGAATCTATTTGCAAATTATGTATATGAGGGAGTTCTCAGCACAGCACTGGAGAGATGCTGTTAAAATTTCTGTCAAGTCATGCTGCTCCTCTTGTCCAAATCCTGCAACAGTCCCCCTCTTGGAGATGTAATCCTGTCATACTGCCATCTGTTTCCCATCTGACCTTATATCACATGTCCTCTTTCTCTCTTTCTCTCTCTTTTTGCAATGGTACTGGGGCCTGAACTCAAGTCCTGAGCACTGTACCTGAGCTTCTTTTGCTCAAGGCTAGCACTATACCACTGGATCCACAGTCCCATATCTAGCTTGTTGGTAGTCTCACAGACGTGTCTGCCTGGGCTGGCTTCAAACTGCAATTCTCAAATCTCAGACTCTGAAATAGCTAGGATTACAGACGTAAGCTACTAGCACTTGGCTTCCTCTCTCTTGGTCCCATCCCTGCAGACACCAATGTATGGATTCCATGTACATGGAAGAAATAGGATTTAGCTTACAGTGAACTAATGCTGATTTAAGTGAAGAAAAATTCATCCATCATTGTATCTGAAGTTGTGCTAGATTTTACCTGTGACAAAAGCATATGCTAAAATGTACTGGCAGCCATCTCTAGAATATTTTGTCAGAGGTCAAAAGATTGTTGACAGTGTTCCTCAATCTAAGACTGTGGTAAGATCAATCTAGGAAGCATATATATGCATGTATACATATGTATAGTTTTTCTGGTCTTCTTTGTGTGTGTAAAGCATTCTTATGAACAATAATCTTTTTTGAGAAAATTGTGATACTTCTAGTGATACCACTAGAAGCTGATTAATTAAAAATTGAAAATTATATTTTTGTTTAGGCCATCTTTTACAGTTACAAGAGAGTTCATCTTGAAATTTAATCGAACACGGGATTTGGTGAACAAGGAAAAATTATTGGAACAAGCTAGAAAAAATATTCTTAGATGTAAGGTAATTATACACTGTTGGTTACCTAGTTGAAATTACTTTTCTATTTGATACATGAGGACGTATTTTAAAGTACTGAAATACTGAAATAAAATAGCCTTAAATTGAGTTATACTTATGTTTTATTAGTTATAAAATATAGTTATACTATAAAATAAATATATTTATTAATAAATCTATAGCTATCTGTAAATATAATTATATTTTATTACTTATAGCTAAAATATTAATAGAAATTAAATTTAAAGCTTATGACTAGAGAATTCAATATCATGTGGTTTCTTATGTGAAGTGCTCCATAAATTATTAGGAAATGTAGCTGATAGCTACAAGACCTGAGAGAAAAATGTCAAAATCTAGCAAATATTTTTTTTTCTTTGAAAGCTTAGTTGAGTATAACGATTCACAAGGAACAAAGATGATCTTCCTATATATACACTGTAGCGGCATTAAGTATTGAATTATTTTTAATAAACTATTCCTTACTCAGATTGCTAAATGTGCATTTTTTATTAGTTATGATACTAATTCTTAGTTTTCAATTAGATATAGAGACTGAACAGGAAGCAAATTCCTTATTTTTCCATTTCTAAATTTAATTCACTATAAACCTGACAGAGAAATAATCTGTCTATATGATATTTCTTTGTTACCAAATAATTCATGAAATAAAAGCAGCACAAGACTGAAGCTTATTGTAAGGTGTCTTTTTTTATGATGGTGGCTATTTTTGAGGTCATGACCATTCATATATATGTATGCTGTACCAGAAAATAATCATTTAAAACATTTGACTTAAAATGCAGTATTCTTCTGAAAAGTGTGCATGGTAAAGGTGCCAGGAGATACTGCAGCAGTAGGCTTGGCTGTAATTGGCTATGAGCTTTAGAGACAGCCTCAGGAGTAGGTACTGCAATAGGGAATCTGGGTAGCCCTGACCATCTCTTTTTCCTTACTGTTTAAACTCAAAGACCAACATTTAATCTACATCCTACTTTTCTCTTACCTCTATTTCCTTCAGCTGCTCAGTTCTGAAATACCTAGACTTTCCCGGCAAACAGGCATAAATTGATTTCTTCAATATTTTTGCTTCTAAAATCAGAGATACATTCTTCTAAAATCAGAGATACATTCTCTCAGAAAGATAAAGTAATCCCTAGAAATCAGAGTGAGAGTCATTTTAACAAATAATTCATGTCATTATTTTGATCATTAATGTAACACTAATACACTTTTCAAAAATATAAAAATACAATTAAAAGATCAAACTATAAAGCTCATGGAATGATTTTAGAATATACATAATTAAGAGGTAATACAATAGGCACCTGAATGAGAAGATGCCTATTTTGTTTGACTAATTTTATGTTTCCTCATGGCAGAGAAAATTGGGTCTGAAAACTCTGGGCTCTGGGAAGCATGTGCATCTACCTTCTGCATGGATTGAAGTGACATATCTGGCTCAGTGCAAAGGAGAAATCCAAGATGGTATGTACTTTGAATTCTTCCTAAGAGTCCAGAGTGCTTTCTGGATTTGCAGTTAATATATAATTTGAGAATTTGCATATTTAGAAATATTCAGAAGACCAGAAATTTTCTATTCTCCATTAAAATGTCTCATACTATTTCATTGTGGAAATTCCTTCTGTAATTTTGAATTTAAGAATTGGATTACTCTATGTTTTAATTACAAAATTATTTTAAAACTTTTACTCAGCATAGTCTTCATTGCTTTTCCTTAAGTTGGTAACTACCTAAAAAGTGATATACACTTTCATTTAGTGTTTTTCAGTTACAATAGGCACAGTGCTTTCAAGGAACTTGTTTCTACATTTTATAATTTAAACTCATAAAAAGTTAATCTCATGGTTGTCCTTTTTACTTATTTTAAACAGCAAGCTTTCCTGATTACCTTTTCATTGATCACTTCTCATTTATACTCCTCTAACTGATCTGAAAAAAGAAAGTAAATAATACTGTTTTAAGGAGATAAAATTTCCTGTCATTATCCTAAATGTTATATGTGTAACTTTGAAGATGAGTTTTAGGATGTTAGCCACATGAAGGTCAGAGAATATTTCCCCATGTAAATTGGGATGTGTAATAATGTCTGGGATGTGTAATAATGTCAAGCAGTAGGAGGAGGAAGAACTATTTTGTACTTAACTTGCCTTTATGAGCCTTCATCACAGTACCATCTACAGCCTGACCTCTATTAAATGTTTAAATGACATTGAAGTAAGCTGAGCACTTTCAGTTTACTACCAACCAGGAATCACTTGCTCTCCACTGCCAACTAAACTTCAGTTTTGTTCATGTCCTGCTGTCATGTGATTTATTGGGAGGGGATCCCTTGATCCAGCCCCAGAGGGTTTACTCAGTTAATCACAGGAATTCCCATTAACTTGCCACAGTAGGATTAGAAGTAGTCATGCGACCTGGTTCTCCCGAAAGTGATGCAAAGATAGGTCTGTTTAGAACACTTTTTTTTTTTTTTTTGGTGGGTATGGGTCTTGAATTCCTTGCCTGGGCGTTGTCCCTCAGCTTTTAAGCTCAATGCAAGTGCTCTACCACTTGACCCACAGCGCAACTTCCAGTTTTCTGGTGGTTAATTGGAGATAAGAGTCTCACAGACTTTTCTACCCCTGCTGGCTTTGAACTGTGATTTTCAGATCTCAGCCTCCTGAGTAGCTAGGATTACAGGTGTGAGCCACCAGCGCTTGGTCAGAACACCTTTTATTGGCTTATTTTTGAGAACTACATGGTTGGGAAGAAAGTATTCCTTTTCTGGTCATATCCTTCATTATTCCTCTAGTTCAACTGTGAGAATAGGATTTCTGAAGCTGATGCCACCAGCACAGACACCATGTATGCCAGGGAAATGGGAAGACAGAGAAATGTGTGTACAGATAACAGTCAGGCCAACCATGCTGCCTGCAGTTGCTCCAATTCTGATCTGAAATGCTACACATGGTTATTTTGAACTCAACACTGTTTTGCTGAGTTCAATGTTACACAGAATCAAAAGCTTTTTTCTCCTTCCTTCTTTCTTTCCTTCCTTCGTTCCTTCGTTCCTTTCTTTCTTTCTTTCTTTCTTTCTTTCTTTCTTTCTTTCTTTCTTTCTTTCTTTCTTTTTCTTTCTCTCTTTCCTTCTTTCTCTCTCTCTTTCTCTCTCTCTCTCTTTCTCTCTCTCTTTCTCTCTCTCTCTCTCTCTCTCTTTCTTTCTCTCTCTTTCTCTCTTTCTCTCTTTCTCTCTCTCTCTCTCTCTGTCTCTCTCTCTTTCTTCTTTCTCTCTCTCTTTCTTTCTTTCTTTCTTTTTTTTTTTCGTCATGGGACTTTAACTCTGGCCCTGGGCGCTGTTCCTCAGCTCTTCAGCTCAAGGCTAGTGCTCTACCACTTGAGCCACAGTGCCACTTCCGGTTTTCTGGTGGTTTATTGGAGATAAGAGTCTCATGGACTTTCCTGCCTAGGATGGCTTTGAACCACGATCTCAGCCTCCTGAGTAGCTAAGATTACTGGTATGAGCCACCAGCACCTTGCTCAAAAGCATTTTAATTCATTTAGATATTGAACTCCGTATGATGTTCTAAGTAAATTTCCTAACACAGTCTCCACAACTGAAGTAAACCTCAAAAGAGGAGGCCTACCTCTACTCTACTGTGTTACTCATTCTGTTGTTCATTCTGTACCACCATAGGCCAGTTGACAGCTTAAACAATTTCCAGAGGCATCTTATTTCACTTAAAATGAGGCCCAACATCATATCATGGCCTGCCATGACTTTATAGGACATGGCTCCTGGCTACTATTCTACATATTCATTATGCTGCAGACATACTGGCTCCCTTTCTGACCATCATTATGTTTTTCCTTTCTGAAGTTGTATTTGCTGTTCTTCCTAAAATATTTACACAGCAGTTTCTTAAAACCTTTAGAATGACTCAAGTTGCCATTTCTTTGTAGGTACCTAGCTTTATATTCATCCTCCTTCAGCATCACATCTAACTTCTTTTGTCTCATTTTTTATGGTTTTTGTTCTTGTCTTTTATAGCATTTATCTTTGGCCATTCTTTCATCAGTGAGCTCTGTTATATTTCTCTATCACTTTGAATATGATCTCGTGATCAATATATAATGTTGGCTGAAAAAGCTAGAGTTCCCTGAGCATTTCTCTCCCTCTCTTTTAAGTAGTCTCTTGACTTGATGATTCTGAGTCCAGCTTTGTTAGTTGGACTTTCTACATTGGAGCTCAGGATTCCAAAGCTAGTTCTGATTGGGGGCAGGGGATATTCAGGGAGAAACTAAATTTGCCTTGTCTGTTTTGATCTAGCCTCTGAAGTTATCTGTTGCTACTTGTTATGCATTTTACTGATTAAAGCAGTCACATGGCCTGCTTAGGTTTAAATGAAAGGAGCTTGGGAGAATTCACCTTTTGGTGGGAAGAATGGCAAGGAATTGTGAACACTTAGAAGTTGATGAGCAAATAGTTATCTGCAAAAATTAATTGTAGCATGTAGAAAACCAAGATGATGTTTAAATGACAAAATTTCTTCTTTATGGAATTTCAGAAGCTTTAAGTATCCTCTATGCTTCTCTGGACCATGCTTCCTTCACTTATGACCAGCTACCTGCTTTGTTTTTTGTGGCAGAGTCAGTTTTATATAGACTCTGTTGTGATGCATTCAAGAAGGCATTTTTATATTCAGTTGAGATAAAGTTGGCAAAGGTATGTTTTAATTTTTGATGTTATTATTATTAATTAATGTTAGATTACAATATATGATGATATAGCATCCATTTTTTTAATCAAAACAAGGTATTTGCTTTTATTATGGATCATTTTCTTATTTGTTAGTTTCATTTCTAACTATGTAGTATGTTACAAATTATGTGGTATATAGTATGAGTAATATGTTATTACTTGGTATCTATGTGGGAAAGTTTAAGAAAATGTAGTTTTACAAACTATGTAAGAAAATATTTGTTTAAAATAAATATGCTTCTTTTTTCTGGGCATATATTGATTTTACATTTCTTCATTTGAATGACTGGCTTTTTGTTTTGTTTTGGGTGTGTATCTGTACCAGGGCTTGAACTCAGGCCTCACAATTTCTCTAAGCTTTCTTGCTTGGGGATGGAACTCTCCCTCCATTTTAGCATTTTTCTAGTTGTTTGGATATGGTACCTTGCAGACATTTTTCATTCAGTCTGGCCTTGAACCATCATTCCTCAAGTTTCAGCTTCCAAATTGAGCCGTTGGCATCTGAAGGACTTTTTAACGTTAGTTCTTATTCTGTTTTAAAATGCTGACAACTAGTTGGGTGCTGGTGGCCCAAGCCAGTAATCCCAGGTACTCAGGAGGCTGAGATTTGAGGACTGTGATTTGAAGCCAGCCCTGGCTCTTATGTGCAATTTATCACCAGAAAGCCAAAGTATAGTGATGGCTTGAGTGGTAGAACTCTGGCTTTGAACAAAAAAGCTCAGGGACAGTGCCCAGCCCCGAGTTTAAGCCCCGCCCCCTGTCATACACAACACACACACACACACACACACACACACACAATGCTGACAACAAATAATCTTTGGATGAAAGATACTGGTTCTTTCTGTGTTCTACATCATTTTAGAGCTATACATGGGTCATTATTTTATACAGATTATGTTTCAAAAGACCTTAAACTCATTTGGATTCAGTCTTTACAATGGTAGTAGTTTACTGTGACAAAATTTATTCTTAGTCTAGTAAATTTATTTTAACTAATGATTTTTTTTGCGAAGAGTAGCAAGATTTCTTCTTTTTCTTTTCTTTTCTTTTTGGTGGTTTAGGTTTAAAGTCAAGGCTTTCTTGGCTTGCTTGCCCTGTAATATAATGTCAGTTATTCTTCGACATGTTTGGGAATAAATGACAGAGTTGATGCAGACAGAATGTAAGAGATAATGACCTACACAGAGAAAAGAAACTTTACATGAAGGAGGAGTGAAAGGGAAAAGTTATGTTGTTACTAGTGCTTGTCTTAGAATACAAATATTTTTCTTCTTAAAAATTTCCACACTACTCATAATGGAAATAAGTTTATATTTATAATGATATTTAAAATTTTATGAGTTAATTATAAATATGAAATGTGTAAAACCTAAGTATATTCACATTAGTGATAAAAATGAAGTGGAATACAATGGAGGGAACATGGAAAACACAAAGAAAGCTGGATGCTTTCCTAATTCCTTCTCATCTTGCTAATGACCTTTCTCCATTTCTTGACTTAAAATTACAGTAGGGAAGCTGGTGGCTCATGCCAGTAATTCTAGCTGATAATCTGAGATCTGAGGATCATAGTTCAAAGCCAGCCCAAGCAGGAAAGTCTGTGGGACTCTTATCTCCAATTAATCACAAAAGTTGGAAGTAGAGTTGTGGCTCAAGTGGTAGAGCAGTAGCCTTGAGCAAAAGGAGCTTAGGGAAAATGCCCAGGCCCAGGGTTCAAGCCCCAGAAACTGCAAAAAAAATGACAGTAGAAGAAAAAAGAATCACAAAATATACTTTCAACCATTAAATATGCTGATTATACATTTTACACCTGCAATCTAATTTTTAAAAATTTTTTAATTTTCCCTCCTGTTCGTACTATATACCTGGTGTGGATTCTTGTAACAGTTGCAAAATCCCCAGTACCAACCTCTGTGCTTTTCTCAATAACAATTTTATGAGCAATGTTGCACATAACTTATTATCACAATGAAAGAGATAGTTTTAGTAATATACATTATTTTGCAAGTAAGGAAATTGTGGTATAGAGAGCTTAATTGATCCACTCTACATGAATGAGGAGTCAAAAAAGGTTTTGAAAACATTGGCAGTGTAGGTCAAAGTACAGTGGAATCATCATCAGTGATGCTCACTCACTCCTGAGTTCTCACATTCAGTAAGTTTAAAATTATTCTTTATTGTTTTGCTGATATAAACTACTATTGGAAATAACTATGACTTACATCTAAAAGTGACTTCCTTGCCTTTGTTGAATGGTGTAACTAATTTCGTTGGAAACTTCTTGCTGTTTTTGAGTACAAAGCTTCATTGAAAAGTATTTCTACATAGGTGAGTGTGACAGATGAGAGAATAAAGGAAGCTGATGCTGGGGGCTGTAGGGAATTCTTTCATATGGGCCAATTTGGGAAGGAATTACTGAAAAGTGGCACATGAGCAGACACCTGCCTGGGTAAAGAAAGCAAGGGCCTAAGTGCATTTGGAAAGAGCATTATTTTTGCTATTTATATTTTGTTATTTGTGCCAGTATTGAGGCTTGAACCCCTAGACTCACATTCTTACTTGGCTTTTTTTTGCTCATGGCAGGTCGTCTGTCATTTGAGCCACACTTCAATTTCTAGCTTTTTGGTGGTTAATTGGAGATAAGAGTTTCATGGAATTTTTTGCCCCAGGTGGCTTCAAATAGAGATCCTCAGATCTGTCTTCTGAGTAGCTAAGTTTACAGGTATAAGCCATCAATTCCCAACTTAGATAGTTATTTTAAAAGCTACTTTGAGGTAAGATTTAAATAAATGATCATGAAATGAACATGCTACTGTAAGGATGGAGTTCAATGGCTTTATCATTGTGTATACCCTAATTATTCCACCACGAAGTTGTTAACTATCAAACTTCCAAATTGCTTTATGACCCCTTATACCCAGAACTATATATCTGCTCCTGTATCTGGTTTCTTCTACTTGCATGTTATTTTTGAGAAATATCTTACATATTGAGACATATTCTTACTGTGTATATCCATAGTCCATTCCTTTACTGATGTCACTCTATTATACAAACACATTAGTATTTGTTTATTCATTCTTTTATTGAAGGTAGTAAGCTGGGTCCACAATTATTTTTATTGTTTTATTATTATTGTTGTTTTAATATGTGGGTGTATCTTAGAAATGACCAGTATGCCTGGTGCTTTATAAATGCTGTCAACTTACACATACAAAAAAGAAAGGAAAGTAGTTCCAGAGGTATCCCATCTCTCTACCTGCACAATTTTGTACCTCCTAGGAGGTACAAATTCAGGATTGGATACAATAAAAAAGATATAATCATATCTTCCAACCTTTCATCCCAGGTTTTATATATTCTTTTCTTTCTATTTGCTTCTGAATGTAGAATTGCCTTTGCTATTGAATTTTGCTTGTACAAATGTAGAGAATAATATTAAATGACAACTTAATATACATTGGATAGAAATATTGTCTTTCAGCCTGTTGCTGGTAGCTCATGCCTATAATCCTAAAATGAGTCCTAGGATGAAACCTGAGACTCACGGTTTGAAGCCAGCAAGACAGAGACTCTTATCTCCAATAAACTACTCAGAAAAAGCCAGAGGTGGTGCTGTGGCTCAAGTGGTAGAGTGCTAGCCTTAAGTACAAAAAAAACTCAGGAGGAGGGGGAGGGGGAGGGGGAGGGGGAGAGGGAGGGAGGAGGGAGGACTGTTTTTCAAATCTCCACAGAAGAACACAAAAATGTAACCAATGATGAAACTGCAACTATGATAGAATTTTTATTTCACAAAAGACAAGAAAAAAAGGAAAGGACAGAGAGGATAAAGGAAGGAAAAATGGGAGAGAAGAAGAGAAAAAAATGCAGAAGCAGAGATTCAATAGGAGGCAAAGTTTGAGTTGCTAAAGTGCAGGTACAAAAAATGAAACAATGAAGGGCCTAGGAGTTCTTAGAGATATGAACAGGCAAAGTTTACAATGAAATTTAATCTTCAGAATATCATAGATAAAATCTTTCAAAATAATTTTTCCAAACATAATTATAACTAGGGATAAGCCTAGGTTAGGTGAAATTCTAGACTGTGAGGTAAAATTTTTGCATTTTCTGTTTTGTAGGATATTAAGTGTTGTGTGTCAATATTATTGCTTAAAATATCTATTGATAATATCTTTGAACTCTTATATTATTCCCTTCAACTAAGTTTTTAAAAAAATTATTGTAAAGGTGATATATAGAAGGGGTATAGTTACATAAGTAAGGTAATGAGTACACTTCTTTTTGAACAGTGTCACCCCACCCTTCAGAACACAATTTCTTTTCTTTTCTTTTTTTTCTTAGTTCTGGGGGCTTGAACACAGGGCCTAGACGCTAGCCTCTTTGTACTCAAGGCTAGGACTCACCACTTGAGTCACAGCATCACTTCTGCAGCTATGAGTTTTTACTCATGTTTTGTTACTACTGGAAATGTTGCCTATCATTGTCTTGTATAGAAGATCACAATATTATTTTACATGGTCTATGGACCTTCTTGTCCTACTCATTAAACTCTGTCTTAGAGAAGAAGCACCGGCTATACCTGAGTGGTGTATGTGAAGAGACCCTCAAGTCATGGTTTATAAAAATTTGATTTTTATTTTTAAGTCTAAAAAAGAGTGCATGTTCACAATTAAAAAACATGACTGGATATTGTTTACTCATCTTCAAATTTTTTGTGATCGAAATTTCTGATTTTAAAAAATGCTAGAAAAATTACTGCTATAATGATGTTTATATCTTTGTGAACAATAAGCAGTCTTGGGTTTAAAGACCTGAAATGCCACTTAGTGCTTCCTAATACTTGGGAAGCATGGAGACTTGGTATGATTCATGTACTTTATTTTGGCATGTGTATCTAATAGTACCATTTATTACTGTTAGATGCGGTTTTCGTAGATCTCTCTGTCTCTGTCTCTGTCTCTGTCTCTTTCTCTCTCATATACACAGAAGTCACTGCTAGTATTAGGTTTGTCACTTTGAGTTAGCAACTTTTTTTTTTCTTTATTTATTTTTATTTTCTTCATGTTAGTATATGCACATGCATACCTAAAATATGAAAGGTCATTCAAAACATGTATTTAGAAAACGTTCACAAGTACTGTCAAGTTTCTCTCCAAAATAGCAGGACCAATTTATACTATGTTATGTGATAGTTCATGCTACTCTTGGGTCCTTATTAATACTAGATGTTACAATTTTTATTTTTATTTATTTATTTTTTTTAAATTTTTTTTAATTTTATTTGAGAACATACTGTACAGAGGGTTTACAATTACATGGGCAAGAAAATGCATACATTTCTTACCAAGCATTGCAGCCTCCTCCTTTGTTTACCCTTCACCTCCCTTCCCAGCCTCCCCCCTCCCCCCCACCCAATCATACCCCCCCTCCCCCCCCCCAACCGACATTGTAAAGCTGGTTTTGACATGACATTTTGTACTTCTCATTGTTGCAACAGGTCCACCTGAATCCTTAAATGACTTGTTTGTCCCCGTCTCCCCCACATGTTATACTGACATCAAATATAGTGAAAGCGGGGGTTACACTGTGGGGGAGGGACATACAAAGCAACAAAGAAATAATATTATAAATGCGTTAGAAACACATGCATGAAAGTAAAAAAAACATTAAAATACGTATTTGAGGGTTCGTTTTCCTAACATCACATTCTCTGACTTTTTCCGCTTGACTCTTACCTATACTAGATATTGCAAATAAGGGAAACCATGGGACCTATGTTTCTTTGGGCCTGGCTTACTTCACTTAATATAATTTTTTCCAAGCCTTTCCATTTCCTAACAAATGGGGCAATGTCATTCTTTCTGATGGAGGCATAGAATTCCATTGTGTATATATACCACATCTTCTTGATCCATTCATCTACTGAGGGGCATCTGGGTTGGTTCCATATCTTAGCTATGATAATAATGCTGCAATAAACATAGTTGTGCTGGTAGCTTTAGTGTGGCCTTGTTTGTGATCATTTGGGTAAATGCCCAAAAGTGGGATTGCTGGGTCATTGGGGAGCTCTATGTGGAGTCTTTTGAGGAACCTCCATACTGCTTTCCAAAGTGGTTGAACAAGTTTACATTCCCACCAACAATGAAGTAAGGTTCCTTTCTGTCCACATCCCCTCCAGCATCTGTTGTTGTTAGAGTTCTTGATTTTTGCTGTTCTAACTGGAGTGAGATGATATCTCAATGTTGTTTTGATTCTTTTATGGCTAGGGATGTTGAACATTTCTTCATGTGTCTATTGGCCATCCTTCTTTCTTCTTCAGAGAAGCTTCTCTTTAAGTCTTTCGCCCACTTACTTATTGGGCAGTTGTTTCTTTGAGGATTTCTTGTTGGGTGGTTTAATTTTTTGAGTTCCAAGTATATTTTAGATATGAGACCCTTGTCCGTTGTATGGCTAGTAAAGATCTTCTCCCAATCCGTGGGCTTTCTATTGATCTTGCTAGCTATGTCATTTGCCCTGCAGAAGCTCTGCAACCTTACACAATCCCATTTGTCCAACCTTTCTTTGATTTGTTGTGTTTCCGGGTCTCTATTCAGAAAATTTCGGCCTGAGCCGAGGAGACCCAGGGTTTCTCCTATTCCATCCTGTAATGTTTTCAGAGTGTCTGCTTTGAGTTCAAGGTCTTTGATCCATTTGGAGTTGATTCTGGTGCAGGGTGATATATAAGGATCTAGCTTTAGTTTTCTACATGTAGTTAACCAGTTTTGCCAGCACCATTTACTGAAGAGGCTGTCTGTCTTCCATTCTATTGTTTTAGCTCCCTTATCGAAGATTAGATGGCTATAGGTCTGTAGGTTCATTTCTGGGTTTTCAATTCTATTCCATTGGTCCTGAGGTCTGTTCTTATGCCAATACCAAGCTGTTTTGATTACTATGGCTTTATAGTAGAGTTTGAAATTTGGTACTGATATTCCTCCAGCAGTGTTCTTTCCGTTGAGGAGCGTTTTTGCTATTTGGGGTCTTTTATTGTTCCATATGAATTTGAGTTAGCAACTTTTAAACTTGAATTTATAGTTTGTGTTTTATTTTGATTTTATATGAAATCTTGTGTAATGTGTGTTTTGCAGATTTCCAATTTTATGGTATGTTTAAAATATGCATGCACTGGTGTGTATGTTTATAAGATCAATATTTATTGTGTATACAATAAGCTATTTTAAAATTATTTATGAATTTTAAATGCCACAGAAAATTTTCAGTTGAACTTATTATGACATTTTTATAAGCATATTGGAAACAATGTATGACGTGCTATTCAGAGCAGAGTATTTATCAGTGTTGTCTAAAACTATTTTTCAAGTTGTTTTTATTAAGACCCTAGTGGGTCTTAATAAAATATACTTTTCTTTGTGATCCAGTATACACATTATGTACATTCACTTATACACTAAAAAAGAATTGAGCAATATATCATAATTTTTTCTCTTCTACTTTATTTAAAAATCCCATGTCAACAATGCTCGATAGGAAATGTACTCATTACCTTACTCATGTAACTGTAACCCCTCTGTACAGTATTTTTACAATAAAAAAGCATTTAAAAATAAAAAATTAAAAAAATAAATAAAAATCCCATGTCAATTGATTTTATGAGTCACAAAAGGAGCATAATATGTGGAATGAAGCAATACTTTTCTAAAGGATTTAGAACAAAACAATGTTCAGCATTGGTCATTCTAGGTAATGTAGAAATGATTTATAATAGTATTTTTGTGAGCCAGGTGCCGGTGGCTCATGCCTGTAATCCTGGCTATTCAGGAGGCTAGAGATCTGAGGATCACGGGTCAAAGCCACCTGAACGGGTAAGTCTGTAATACTCATCTCCAGTAAACCACTCAGAAAACTGGAAGTGGCACTCTGGCTCAAGTAAAATGCTAGCCTTGAGCTGAAGAGCTGAGGGACAACACCCAGGCCCAGAGTTCAGGCCCAACGACCAGTAAAAAAAAAAAAAAGTGTCTGAACTACTACTATTTCAATCTTGATATAAATGTTTTGAAGATATTTCAGAATGGCATAACATCAATGAAGTTTGAAACTGCTTCATCAGAAGTATTTTTAATAATAAAAGTTTATTTTCTATATAGTTTTTGAATATGTGTTGATGCAATACATCAATGCTTTTATATTTTCTGTTTTGACAGATTGGCTATTTGGTCTTCTTACGACTCTTTGTATTTTTCCTGCATGGTCATCTAGAAAGCTTCAAAGAACATTTACTTAGGCTCCGACCATATTTATTTGGTAGAGTATCTTTTTTATACTTATAAATGCTTAAGTTACATTTTAAGAAACTTGGTCTGCCACTATAAATATCATACGCTGAGTATTAGGATTCATGAAGACAATAGGTGCATTGCTGGCTAGTGAGCTGAATAAATATTCAGCATTTACTTTGAGCACTTATTCAGGTTTGTTTTTCCCTACATACTTATCAATTATTTTGTAGTGAGAACTTTACAAATCAACCCTCTTCTGAATTTATTAAACAATTTTTTATTTTCATTTATTTTTATTTTCTGCGTGGATACTTTGGGCTAGAACTAGGGACCTAAGTGCTGTCCCTTAGCTTTTTTACTCAAACCTGGTACTCTTCCCTGAGCCACAGCTCCACTTTTAAATGAAAAAGTTTCTTCTCAACACAAAAGAACTTTCATAATCCAAAGAATACCTAAGGAATGAAAAAAGAAATTTTGCCAGCTATTTATCACATAAAGGAGTAGTATCTAGCATCTATAAAAACCTCTAAAAAGTAAGCATCCAAAGAATAAATAATCCAATTGATAAATGGACAAACGAGCTGAATAATTTTCAAAAGAAATAAAAATGAGTCATAAAACAGGAAGAGATGTTCATATTCTTAGATGTAAATGAAATATAAATCAAAACATCACTGGTAGTCCATCTCATCCTAGTCTTACCAGTCTTGAAGCATGCATTGTTAGTCACTGTAGTTTTTCTGTTGGGCCATAGCTCACTACAACTTTCCCCTACCTAACTGAAGTTTTGTACTCCTTGACTAACATCTCCTACTTTCTCTACCCTTCCTTTCCCCACTGCACTCTTTGGTAGCTACTTTGTAAACTACTTTCTACCTGAGTATATGGTGATGTTTGTGACTTAATTTTTCATCTGCAGTAACGTCTATCAGACTGCCTTTTAAAAAATGCTAAACTTATAATTTCTGAAGATAAATCTAGTGGCAGTATAGCTGTTAGACTGGATAGAAGAGAGTGGCCAAGGGAGACCTGTTTACTATGGCATGCACAAACAGAACATTTCTTCTTATTATCTAAAACAATGTTCTTCTAACAGTTTTGACTGAGACACATCAGAAGAAATAGACCAAGCTTTCTATGGTGAAGAAGCTATTAATGATATTAACTGTTGTAATGAAAGTTGTACATAGTGAGATAGCTCTTTAAATACTTAGATAAAATACTAGATTTGGTGATCAATTTGATCTAGGTTCTATGTAAGGGTGAATGAGAAGTTCAGGAGGAAGTTGAAGTTATATACATATTTAGTAATAGGATACAAACACTGAAAAATGTTAGATGCAGTAAGTTTGAAATTTATGAGACCTGAATATATAGATTTTATAGTTATTCTTATCAATATGGCTATTGTAAACACTGGGGGTGGGAAGAAGTTAATTCTAGAAAGAGAATCTCAGGGAACATAGATATTTAATCATATGAAATATAATTGTAAGACAAAAATTCAACCTAAAAATGTAAACTATGTCAAAAGTGTAATGCTGTAATATTTATAGCACCATATAATCCTGTCAATGAAAGAACAGTGAAAAGATGAGTATGTTAAATGAAGCCAAGAGGAGACTATAGATGAATTGAATAGGAATTATGTATCATATCATTTCCTTCCTTCCTTCCTTCCTTCCTTCCTTCTTTCCTTCCCTTTCCTTCTTTCCCTTCCTTCCCTTTCTTTCCTTTCCTTCCTTCCTTTTCCTTCCCTCCCCCTCTCCCTCCCTCCCTCCCTTTCTTTTCTTTTCTTTTGATTGTGGCACTCGAACTCTGGGCCTCTGGGCCTGGGCGCTAGGCACTGTTCCTCAACTCTTCAGCTCAAGGCTAGCACTCTACCACTTGAGCCACAGAGCCACTTCCATTTTTTTGAGTGGTTTATTGGAGATAAGAGTCTCACAGACTTTCATGCTTGGGCTGGCTTTGAACCGAGATCCTCAGATCTCAGCCTCCTGAGTATCTAGGATTTCAAATGTGAGCTACCGGTGCCCAGCTTCATATCATTTTCTTTATTTCTTCCATCACTTATATTTCCTTTTCTTATCCCTTTAGTGTCCAGAATAGTGACTACCAAATAATTTATAGAAAGAATGGAACTAAGATAGTTCTGTTAAATATCACATAGTCTTTATGTTAAATGAATAATTTCCTATACAGCATATATTTTAAAACCTACAATAACCTCTTGAGAAAGAATAAGGCTGGAGCATATTGAGTTAAAAGTAATATTGCTTTGTTTGTAGGATTACAATTACAAAGTAGCCATCATGAGTGGAAATATCTGTTATAATTTGATTTATATCAGCTTGAAGCTTCCATGCATTGTTGAGCAGTAACAATATTTAATTGGGCATTCAAGACATTTTGATTTATGTAAACACTTTTTATGACTTACTTGTAATTTATTTTTGCACCACCAGAGGGCATGTATAACATTCTAAATCTTTACTACTTGAGGAAATGTACAGCTGTTTTTGGACCTGAATTTAATATTGAATTTAATTGCAGTTTTATACAAAAATAAAAGTGAATACTAAAAGCTATTAATGAACTATTTCTCACAATTTTTTTTTACAATAGCACTTTCTTCTTCTGAAATATCCTATTACAAGTATCCAAACATATTTTCAAATGTGCAATTCATCCTGAAAACATCACAAATTATATATAAAAGAGAACTCATTAAAAAAACTTTCAGCACTGAAGAAAATATGGAAGAATTTGAAAATAATTATTCTGACATGGTAGGTAATTTCATGTGGTGTCTATATCCTGTCACAGAATGAGTAGGATTGCTATGTATAAATAGTCATATTGTTAATCCATAAATCATTATTGATGCTGAGTTCAACTAGTTTAGGTAGGGAGTGGAAGAGTCAACACAAATTTGACTAGTTTTATACACATGCATGCCTCTTTCCTAGATGGTAGATGGTAGATAATTGTACCCATATGTGCTGCTTCTGTTAGGTGGAATAAGGTCATGACACCTCTTCCTTGTAGTTGCCATCTCAGCTGATTAGTTAACAATCAAAATGTGCCAGGCACTGGAGGTTCATGCCTCGTAGCTACTCAGAGGCTGAGATCTGAGGATCAGGCTTTTAAGTCAACCTAGTCAGGAAAGGCCATGGGACTTTATCTCCAAATTGACTACTGAAAGAGACAGAAGTGGAGTTGTGGCACAAGTCATAGAGTGCTAGCCTTGAGCACAAAAGCTAAGAACAATGCCCAGGCCCTGAATTCAAGCCCCAGGACTGGCAACAAAAAGAGAAAGACTTAGATTTGCCTTAAAATTAACATTTTACTACATTCTTATTAAAAGGAATGCATGTGAGTTTTGAAACAAGTGTTAAACAAGTATTAAAATCTTTGCATCTATGATTCATATATACAATAATATTTAATATATAACAAATCAACTGAAAACTTTCAAAAATAACTTAAATTGAGACTCAAAGTAATTTCTTTTATATAAAAATTATTTTACTTTCCTAGTCAGATGCAATCAATTTACAGAAAACTATTCATCATAATTATTTGATTCTCTGGTGTGTTGGCAGTTATGCCAACAATGCCATGCTACAGACAACTGTGGAAATGCCTTGCCCACTGGTATACCTAAAACACAAACTGTTAAGGTCTTCATTTTCTTTCCTCATATATCTTCTGAAAGAGGGTTATGAGAACTTGGCAACCTTACTACTTTGATTTTTAGACATATGCATTTATGGTCTTTAGCTTATAAACAGAGCATTTGTTTTTTTTTTAACTTTTCCCCCAAAAGCATTTGGAAGCATGGCTCAGCTGGTACAGTGCCAGCTCTACAGTATAGTGTCACATACTGTGTTCAAGTCCCAGTTTTGGACCCCCACAGAAAAAGAATTCCACAGAAGACATAAGTCGACATAAGCCAAAAACAATAAGGAAATGTAAAGAAAACTATGATCTCATAATTTTCCTGTGCTTCCTTTGGGAACTTTTTGACATTATCTATAAATTAAATAAATAAGTAAGATAAAATATTTTATTGTATCTATCTTTAGTCTTTTTTAGGACCATTTTTTGGGCTCCATTAATGATGGAACATTTGTAAAGAAAGTGATATTTGCTAAGTAATTTGAAACTTTTGGTTATAATTTCTTTTAATTGTGAAAATACTATACAGAGGGGTTACAATTACATGGGCAAGATAATAAGTACATTTCTTATCAAGCATTGTAGCCTCCGGTTACAATTTCTAATAAACTCAAATTGTGTCCTGTAAAAAAGGAATCTTAATAGATATGTTGACTCACTCCTGTAATCCTAGCTACTTGGGAGGCAAATTGGGAGGGCCATGGTTCAAAATAACAGACCCTATCTGCACCGGATGCTGTGGTGCAGACCTGTCCTCTCAACTATATAGCAGAAGTTCAAAGTCTGAGGTTGGCTGCAGGCAAAAAATGAGCCCTTATCCCAACAATAAAATAAAGCAAAAAGTTTCTAAGTGTAGTTCAAATGGAAAAGTATCTAATAAGAACAGGCCCTGACTTCAAATCCCAGAATCTAATTTTTCAGATTGAAAAGTATCTTCACAGCAAATATGTTACAGAAGATTCTGAGCAATAAAAGGAACACTGGTTGTCAAGAGAAAAGACCCATGTATGTGTGATCCAGAAGGAGTTTTGTTAATCTCTATAACCCCCTATCTGCTTATCTTTCCAAAGTCCTGGAAATCATCATCTTTGGCATCATTATCATTATCCTATCTACCTGGACTCCCCTACATGGTTACTGTAGAGATCATAGAAACAAACAAACAAAATGTGCCTTGTAAATTAAATGTCATGAGAATGTAAATAATGTTAAGAGGAAAGTATATTTAGGAATCTACTCTAACCTATTCTGTTCAATATAATAATTTTCATTTGCAGACATGATTATATGCACTCTATGTTTTGCCTTTAAGCAAATGAGATATTGTGAAATCTTAGCAACACGTGCCTTCTGGTGAGGAGCAGACTACTTTCAGTGTTCGTTCTGATGCTTTTGAGGAACATGTCCATTTTGGTCACTTGGTTCACACTCAGCAAGCTAGTGGAACCTTACTGTTGCACTGCTCTGCCTGCACTGGAAGGCATGAAGCCACCCACATGTGAAACAAACATATCTGCTTAGAGTGAGACTTGGCAGTCACAAAGTCTTTCTTGCCATTTTCTACCTTGTAGAACAAAGGGCTCACATTTACTTGCTCACACATTCTATTTCAGTTCTATATCTGTGATTCTCTGAGGGGATTATAACGGATTTTGGCCTGTCAGGTTTATTGCCCTTCTTTTCTCCTCCAATTACCTTATAATATAAAGACTGTAAAGGACAGTGTAGCTACCTTGTTATTGAATTATTGCTTTGGCTAATCAGCACTGATCCATGGCTTGATTTACAAGCCTTAAAGTTCCCTGAATTTAGGTCAATTTTTCCAGTGTAGCATAGTCTATCCTGTTTTCGTGAGCATCTATCCATTCAATACAGTCTCATTTGCCTTCTGGAAAAGGAAGTAGGAAAACAGTGAGATAAAAAGTAAAATAGAAAGATATATTAGTAGCCATCTTCTTTCCCTCCTTTATTAATAGTTTATTGTAGTAAAGGATTTGTAAGTTTATTCCCAAAGCTTTCATGCTCAGATAATAATAAAAGGTCTACAGCAGCATGTATTAGCCCTTGCAAAATATTCAATTTTTATGCTCTGTGAATTGGAATAAAAGCCTAATTGCTTAATTTTTTTTATCCAACTACTCCTAAAATTGTTTCTAAAACCTGTAGGATTTACACATTACAATACATACAATATGGGTATTGATTCTGCTTAAGAACAGAGGATTTCCTTTCCTTGGCTGCCTGACCTTGTTTCTCCTTTTAAAGTCCTTTTAAGTGATACAGACACAGGGTTTCCATTGGCTTTGACAAATGGCACACTTTAATTAGCTCTGCGGATTGCAGAGCCAGATCTTTGGATTGAGTTTTCTGCTGTCTTTTGCTCTCTCACAAAGCTGAGTTTCTGAAGCACAGCTGTCACATGGTAACAATAACATAGTTTTCAGGGAAGGTAGCTTTAAACTCAGCTAAAACTGGGAAAAGCCTTTTAGTAAATATTCCCCCAAAGTACTATTAGTTTACTGAAAACTAGCAGACTCAGAGTTAACATCCTAATGTGATTAGCAGTCTCTTCATGAAACTTAGAAGTCCTCAGTGACATTCTGTGCTGTACTGCAGTTGTAAATAAGTACCAGGAATTGGATTTTAATGAGACCCAAGTTCTTTAAAATTAGGAGCATTGTCTTGCGGTTCATGTTCTGTTACCTAGGTAAGACATTTTTTGTAGAGAGGTCATTCATGGCACTGTCAACCCTCCCAAACATAATTGAAAACAAGCTCCAAACTCAGAAAGCTGTTCAAGAGATGTCAAAATAGAGCCCACACTTCCAATATCATTTTTATGCTACAAAGAGGGTTTGATTGGACATCCAAAGCTTGTGTACTTAAATTTTCACAAATGCCAAGGTGATGTGATTATCTGAATTTTCAGCTAACAATAGGTTAATGATACTTTCTAGGTGGGTTTCTCAAGTAGGCAGTGTGTAAGCTGCAAGGGACAGGCCTAAGACGTGAAAGAGAGGGAGAAAGAAAAGAAGAGAGGGAAGAAGGAAGGGAAGTGAGAAAACGGAAAGAAGGAAAGAGAAAGTGGGAATTAGGGATAAAAAATGTTTTCTGGGAGCTATTGAAAGCTGGGTTTTGTGCTTTTCAAATGACCTGTGGTAAAAGTCATTTCAAATTTCTTTCCTTCTTTCTTTCCTCCTTTCCTTCCTTTCTTCCTTCTTTTATTTTTCTCCTTCCATCTCTCCCATGTTCCCCCTCTACTAACCTATTTCTTTATTCCTATTCCTACATCATCATAGACTATCTTGTAAGATGTAATAATAATAAATTATTGAAACAATAAAATCAAAATTGTTTTAGTAAGCTGAATATGTATATAATAAGCTGTTAAATTGTTATAAACGTCTCTTAATACTTATTCTTAATTTCTGTTAATAATTTGCAAATGACATCAGCAAGTCATTTGTAGAAAGATTTAATGTAATGACAAAGAGCTGCACACCATGTAAGACCTCTGAGAGCATGTTCCCTCTGTGTAGCATTGATGCAAATCACCATTAGTATAATAAATCATCCAGTTCTGGCAAATTTATTATTGGTGATGCTAATACCCTTAAGCCAGGGCTCAATGGAAACACATGTGCCATGAGCCAAACTTGTTTTATTCCTTTTTGCAGGGACAGAGAAAGAGATAAGGTAAGAGAGGCAGAAGTGGAGAAGGGAAGGAGAGAGGGAGACAGGGAGAGATGAGAGGTGGATTCTCTTAGCTAGAGGTTGAGTGCTAGAAAACTTCTTTGTAGGAAGTGGACTTTGAGTAATGGAGGGAGGATCTAATAAAGCAGGAGTTCTCTCTAGCTTTGACGCTGTTAGAAACTAGGGCAAGCTGTGACAATGATACATACTCAATGCTAGAAATCCTTCTGGACTATTAGCTTTTGTAAATTGATGTCATTTGTCCAGCAGTTAACATATCTACATCATAACAGGAAACTTATGCATACTCCTTTTCAATTTTATTTATATTTATTCCTTTATTTAGCATTCACTAATGTACAAAAGGTTTTTTGTGTGACATTTCTATATGTGTATACACAGTATGTTAATCAACACCCCCCTCTTTATCACTGTTCCTTGATCATTGAACATGTGTCTCATTTTCTTCTTTCTAAATGTTCAGGTTACATCTTCATAGGTCCTCCATGTCTTCTGGGCTCTCTGCTCTTCTTCCTTCTCCAAAATAAGGCTGGACTCAGCTATCTGAACCATGTTCTCAGCACAGCAGTAGATGCTAACACCTTAGCAATCCTCAAACTTTGGCTACCCATAATCAAGTCTTACCCTCTACCATTCTACAAGCTCTGACAAGTACATCAGAAAAACACACAGAGGAAAAAGACTCTTAGATTCATTTGTAATTTCAGAGTGATTTGTGATTTTGCTAAGAAATTCTCCTTTGCCCACCTGTCTCTTGTCCAAGCCCTTCTCTGAACTTATTTTCTAAAAGCACATCCATCATAATCTTAGATTTCAGTAGCATACACAAAAATAAGATACAAATGAAAACAAGAAAGTAGAGAGACAATTCTAAGACTGGGTACTTTGTGAATGGATCAGTGACTTTGTTTTCCTCTGTGCTTAGAGAAAAACGTTAGGTTGCTTTGTACAGAATGGTGTCTGAGCCCTGTTTTCTGATAATATTTTGCGAGTTTATGTCCAAAAGGAGATCAGAATGACCAGCTGTGGATATCAGACAAGCCTGTAATAACATGATGTCAAATCAGCCACAGACATCACAAGCCATGTTTTCAATGATAAGGAAAATGAGAGGCCACTTTCTCAATGAAGAAAGAATAGGAAGAACAGCTTCATGTAAACCTGATATAAAATTTAAATCTTGTTCATTGTCTAATTTTGATCAAAGATGCTGGTGCTTAAGTATGGTAGCACAAGTATATTTTAATCTACCTATATAGTCTGTGTAGCTATCCAGTATCTATATTTAAAAAGAGAAATTATTGATTGTTTTAAATTAATTAGTGAGTCCATTCCAAAGCTTCAAAACACATCTACATCACTATTATTTGGAATGAGTTTGCAACCTGAGAATTGTCAGGCATCTGGCTGGAGACTCTTAGGGCAATTTGAGAAGAAAATTTCATTTCTATGAGTTCCACTTTTTGGATGGGCTCCATCAGAAAGCAGAAAATTAGGTTATGTGTGCATTTACTGAAGTCAGCTTGTCTGTCTGATGCCTTATATTATTTTAAAATAGAGGTTTTTCTGTGAAATAATCTAACGTCCCAAACACTGATTTGTTTCTATTTGCTTTTCTAAGTTATATTTACACAGAGGGAGCAAGCTTGTGAAGACTTTTTCTTACTCATCTTACAGTCAATGACATAAATAGAATCAATACACATCTGTCTTGGACTTAACTAAACTAGATGCTAGAAACTGAAAATGTTTGAATTTGTACATGGATTTCTGGCTTTTTTTAAAGAGTGCTCAGCATGAATATTGTTAAATTGTAGTTGTGATATTGTTTTGTAAATAAATAAGCATTATTAAGCCCTTTAAATTCTAATTCATTTTTTCTCTTGAGACAAGTTTTCTCTGTCTAGCCTATGCTAGCCTGGAACTCATGATCATTCTTGAGCTTTTCAGGTATTGGATTTACAGGCATGCACCGCCATGCGCACTTTAAAACTTGCACATAATATCAACTATTCATAAAACAAAGTGTGTTTGAATCTTTGCTATGTCATCATTGTATACTGATGACTTCAGTAGAACAACCAACTAAATCTATGAAACCAGCAGGAAACACCATGAAGAAAAACAGATACAACAGGCTACTTGTTATTTGATTTGTAAATATCTACTTAACAGACATTGGCCATGTGTATTTTCCTCTTCAAAGTTGAACTTCACTTTTTTTTCTTTTAATAGCCAGGATTTTGTACTTGCTAGGTAGGTACTTTATCACTTGAGCCATGCTGCCAGCCCTTTTTCACTTTCATTAGTTTTTGCATAGAATCTCACTGTTTTGCCAGGGCCCAGCCTTACACAGTGATCTTATCTATGCTTCCCATATCACTGCAATTGCAGCCATGCACCACCAGGCCTGACTTATTTGTTAAAATAGAGCCTTGTTAACTTTTTGCCCAGGTTGGCCTTGAACTTCAATCTTCCTGACTTCCCACTTCTGAATAGCTGGGATTTCAGACATGAGTCACTGTAACTGATGTAGAAAATCACATTTAAAACCTTATTTACTATTCAGTCTTTGTTCAGGCTTTCCCCTGGTCCCGACTTGTCAGAGAGAGCTAAGTCACACAGCAGTTGAGAAACATGATTTTATCTAATAGTTGTTTCTTCAAATTCACAGGATTTTTGTCATTTTGTAGAACTGATGTCATTAAACACAATAGTCCCATGTGAAAATATGTGCATTCGATTCAGATGAAGGTTATACACCTACAAAAATATACTTACACATATTATTCCACTTGGTGAGACAAGAACTCTAAGAGAATATGCATTTTAATTTGTATATTTAAAATTTATTTTTATGTTTGTTCAAGTGGAAGAATTGTTTCCCAGATATACTTTTACATTTTAATTCCAGAACCATTTGCAATTTAATCAGGGAGGATATAAAGTTAACCACCTGCTCTGGCATTGTGTTGCCGCTTGGTCTTGTGTTCAGAATAATAGTCCTCAGCTGAATAATGTGCTGGAGCATCTCATCTCCCATAAAACACAGCTTCAAAAGAAATGCTGGTAAGATGATCCTATAAATTCAGAGAAACCTTTGTGTTTAAATGTTAATCACACCTTGGTTGACTATAAAAAGAACTTATAATCTCACTTCTAAAGACAAGGGTAATTTATGTATTTTGTATTAATTCATATTATCAATAAATTGTTTTTATCTCTTTGGTTTTGCTTTGCTGGATATGCATGCACACATTTCATAGTTTGTCTTTATTAAATGAGATTTGTGGTTGATAAGAAGTTTGTTTTTTTTTTTTTTGATTCTTTTTTTTTAAATTTAATTTTATTTTATTTGTGAACATACTGTACAGAGGGGTTACAATTACATGGGCAGGATAATGCGTACATTTCTTACCAAGCATTGCAGCCTCCTCCTTTGTTTCCCCTTCAACTCTCTTCCCAGCCTCCCCCCTCCCCCCAAGAAGTTTGTTTCTTTTTGTAAAAACATATTTTATTTTCCACGATGCTAAATCATAACAATGAAGCAATTTATTATCATTAGAAGAAATATTCTAATATTTTATTTCTTTGTGCCTTATATACCAAAAGTGAATTTCACCTAGTAAATGTTAGTTTCCTCTAGCATATGTGCTTTTAAGAAAGTAAATAGAGCTGCGTGCTGGTGGCTCACACCTGTAATCCTTTCTACTTACAAGACTTAGATCTGAGGATCACAGTTCAAAGCCATCCTAGGCAGGAAAGTGTGTGAGACTATTATCTTCAATTAACCATGAGAAAACGGGATGTGAAGCTACAGCTCAAAGTGGTAAGAGTGCTAGTTTTGGGTGAAAAAAACTCAGTGACAGCACCCAGGCTCTGAGATCAAGTCCTAGGACCGACAAAAAAAAGAAGGAAAGAAAGAAAGAAAGTAGAAGTCTCAGGGTATTACAAGGGAGAGCATTGGTTTAAAGAAATAACTGTTGTTGTATGTATATGCCAGTCCTGGGGCTTGGTCTCAGACCCTGGGCTATGTCTTGTGCTTTTGGGCTCTAGGCTAGCATTCTACCATGTGAGCCACAGCTCCACTTCCAGATTTTGGTGTTTAATTGGAAATAAGAGTCTCATGGACTTTCCTGCCCCAGCTGGCTTTCAACTATGATCCTTAGATCTCAGCCTCCTGAGTAGCTAACATTACAGGCATATATATTAATCGCATATATATTATGGAGTACAGTGTGATATTATGATCTATGTATACCTTGGAGAATGATTAGATCAAACTAATTAACATAAACATTACCTCACATAGTTATTTCTTTGCAATGAGAACACTTAAATCCACCCTCAGCAAGGGTAGATTCAGTAACACACCAGAAAGTACAGGAGACTATCAGAATTTAGTCCTGTCTATCTGAAACTAACATCTCTCTCTTTCTTTTCTGTGGCACCTCTCCAAGCTATACTCTACCTCTAAGTGCTTGAATATTTTAGATTTCACATATAAGTGAAATTTCATATTTTTCTTTCTGTGTCTATTTTACTTCTCGAAGTATAAAGTCCCCCAGTCACTTATACTCTCACTCAGAGGAAGATTTTCTTTTTTAAAAGTCTGAATTGTTCTCCATCATATATGTATGTATGTACGTACATATCAACTAATGTGATAGTTGACAATAACCAACAATAATAATGAACAATATTCTGATATCATTTCTTTTGGATATAACCATAAACAAACCACTATACCTGGTACATTGATTAATTTTTTTTAAATTTCACTTTTGGAGAGTCCATGTTAGTGTACAGACATGCTATTACATTTTTATGTTGATTTATTAGTTCTAAGTAGTTTTTTTAGGTAGACTGCTCATGGTTTTGTGCATGTAAGATTATTTTGAGTTGGCAAACAGAGAAAAAATTAAACTTTTTCCCCTCTGTTTTGGATGACTTTTCTTTTTTTCGTGACAAAATATTCTGGTTAGGACTGTTAATACTGTCTTAAATAAAAATTATGAGAATGGATATCATTTTATTTCTAACTTTACATCACAAACTTTCAAATTTTTACCATTAGATGGCGCTGGTTTTGGACATGTCGCACACCTGATGTTTATAAAAATCTTTAAAATAGGGCTGGGAAGGTGGCTCAGTGGTAGAGCGCTTGCCTTGCATGCTCAAGGCCCTGGGTTCAATTCCTCAGCACCACATAAGAAAAAAGAAAAAAGCCAGAAGTGGCGCTGTGGCTCAAGTGGTAGAGCACTAGCCTTGAGTTGAAGAGCTGAGGGACAGCGCCCAGGTCCAGAGTTCAGGCCCCATTACTGGACCCCCCCCCCCCCAAAAAAAAACAAACAAAAATCTTTAAAATATTATTTTGAACAAATAGATGAAAAGTTATTCCTTTCTAATATTTGTGGAAGATCAGTTTTGAATTATTTTTTCCATGATGATGCTGTTAAACAATAAGACAATAATAATCTATCATGTCATTACAAATTGAAAATTCAATAATGTTTTTAACATATAATTTTTTAAAGCTCCTATTAGCTCATTTGGCATCAAACTCCATTGTATATGTAAATTCTGACTTTCTCAGAATCAATTGTAGATCCTAACAAGAATCTGGACTACTTTTGTTTTGAGAAGCAATATCTGGCTTCTGGGATCCTGGATGAAGTAAAGATTCTCCTAGAAATACTCTACGTTAGAACTCACTCTCATATCCTGAGGGGAGAAGACCACTCAATATGGCAGTTAAAAGACTGTGACTCTTCTACAGTTTGTAACCAGGGAAAGTATCTAAAATTAGGAAAATAAAATTTCAAAGTAATAGAGCACATTTATTATAATAAACATAAACAATATAATAAACCTAAATAAATAAAAATAAGATTATGTTATTATAATATAGAAGTCCTAAATGCATTAAAAATTAGAAGATCTATTTCATTTAAATTAGGCTGTTGTGGCAACAGTAATGGTCATTTTCTTAGGCCATTCCAAATTATACAATGTAAGTTATAAGAGATTAAAATATATGATTAAATTTCAATGGAAAATAATTAGAACTATGTCAATCCTTAGAAAACTTTAAGTCTTTATCCCATTTATTATTTGGGTTGTTTTTCTTTGAGGGTTTATTTTGTGTAGGGGGGTTATTTTTTTGAGATCTAAGCATATTTTAGATATGAGACCCTTGTCTGATACACAGTAGTAAAAATCTTCTACTGTGTGTGCTTTCTATTTATCTTATTAGCTATGTCCTTTGCCATACAGACACTCTTCAGTTTGATGCAATCCCATTTATCTAGGGTTTCTTTGATTTACTGTGATTCTGGATCTTAGGAAATTTCTACTTGTGTCTAGGAGCTCTAGTGTTTATCCAAACCCTTCCTGTAATATTTTCATGATATCTGGCCTTCCTTGAGGTCTTTGATCCATTTGGGATTGATTCAGCTGCAGAGTGATATATAAGGATCTAGCTTCAGTTTTCTGCACATGTATAGCCAATTCTACCAGCACTATTTGTTGAAGGGGCTTTCTTTCAACCTGTGCTTTTGGCTCTTTCATTAAATATTAGGTGGGTATAGGTATGTGGGTTCATTTCTGGGTCTTCTATCCTGTTCCAGTGGTCCTCAGGTCTATACTTGTGCCAAACAAATGAGTTATCACTTTGAAATCCTCACTTGAGAATATCATCCTTTAATGTTTTTGTATGTATGCATATGATCCTGCATATGCTTACATATTAATGTATACATTAGGTCTAACTTCCACATGTGAGAGAAAATACATGTCCTTATCTTTCTGAGCTTGACTTACTTAATCTTTATGGGTCCATTTATTTCTCTGAAAATGACATAATATTCTTCTTCTTTATAGATGAGCAAAACTTCATTATATATAATACATATATGCATACATAATATATTTACATAATATATATCACATTTTCTTGATCAATTTGTCAATTGTAATTCATCTGGGCTGTATCCAATACTTAACTATAGTGAATAGTGAAGCAATGAACATAGGTGTTTAAATGTCTTTGATATATATCCTGACTTGTAACATTCTGCATAAATGTCCAAGAGTAGTATGGCTGAATCATAGGAGAGATCTATTTTTAGTTTAATTTTTTTTTTTTTAAGGAATCTCCAAACTACCTTCCATAGTTGTTGCCTTAATCTTTCCCCCTCAAAACATGCACATACGCTCTGCTGCCAGGATCATAACACGAGTATCAATTTGCTCCTTTCTAGCTTAAAATTATTTAACATTTTTACACAACACAGAAGTTGCAGCTTCAGTACTGGCATTTCTTGATTATATGTTTCTTTTGGTTGCTTCATTATAGCAGGAGGTCTAAGTTTTACAACATTTCCTCAAAATTATGGTAGAACTTTCACGATTGCCCTCTTCCAAGTGGCAGTCCTGTAGTTCACTTTCTGTATTATGGAACTAAATTTCATTTTGTAATTTTAATTCCCTTGCAGTCTTTTTTCGTACTTCATTATTTCATCTCAATATCAAGACTTTGATCAGTTTCTCTTTAGGAAGAAGAGAAAATCTCTTCTTGCTGAACTTTATAAAAGATATTGAAAAGCTTTTTGAAGGTATCTGTGGTTCCTGTAAGAAATCATTTTGGAATTATGATCTTCTTTGAGTATTGACACTGATATTCTTTCATCTTTGCCATAATATATATTTTCATTTATTCTGGAGATGTCTTTTTCAACTTTTCATTTTACTAATTCAGAAGTCAAGGAAATACATTAAAAACTTGATCTTTTTAAATGAGTTTGTGTTCACAGAAGTTAAAACTCTCAATTTTTGTTCATTTTATTTTTTTAAGTTCTATTTTACTTTTTCTTTTCTTTCTTTCTCTTTCTTTCTTTAGACTTTGTTATATTTCACAAGTTGATTTGGAACTCACTCTATTCCTGCCTCACTATACTGATGCTGGGATTACAGATGCAACCACAATATTTGGCTTTCTTTTTTTTTTTTTTTTTCCAGGGCTGAGGACCGAACCCAGGGCCTTGCGCATGCCGAGTGGGCGCCCATCCACTGGGCTAAACCCCCAGCCCCTGGCTTTCGTTTTTTTTAACAAAGCACTTTTAAGTTTTAAAAAAATTATAAAAGTAGCATGTACAATTATTATAGAGCCTCTATTCTTCTTATTCATTAGTAGTTTACTCATGATGACAAAATGTACCTCTGTGTTCCAATTCTGTAGCTTCTTTTTGCTCCTTCCTCATCCCTTATAAGCACTGTTTTCTATACTTTTTAACACCTGGATGTATCACCTCAGAAGACATATGGAGAGACAAAGATGAAAAGAATGATTAATACTCTAATACATTAAAATCAATATCTCAAGGCAAATGATTGGCTGGTACTCTTTCTGATTCTATGAACTATGAGATTACTTTTCTCTAAATGTTTTCACTTTACTTTCTTTTGGGAAACAAGATTGTTGTATCTCAGGATGTTTCAGGTGGTATGCCATTTTGATTCTCTTCAGCTCTATTGACTTTGTGGTTTTGTGAATATAAGTGGTATCTCAGTAACCTTTTTTTATTGTTTTCAAGATTGTGATTTAAAAAATGTTGTGTTTTCTAAAATACTCATTGTTGAGAATAGAATAAGGTGTGTAAGGTTAGAGATATTTTAATTCCATATTTTTAAAATGACAATCAGTTCATTGAAGATATTTATAGAGGAGTAAAGATAACCAATAAAGGCCTTTCGATGATTATATTCCTTTTATAAGTGTGTGTCTAATAGGTATTGTTAACCATTTTTGTATTTTTTCAGCTATGGGATATATTTACATATATACATTAAATATGTTTATATTTTTTATTTTTATTTATTTATTTATTTTTGTCGGTCGTGGGGCTTGAACTCTGGGCCTGGGCGCTGTCCCTCAGCTCTTCAGCTCAAGGCGAGCGCTCTACCACTTGAGCTACAGTGCCACTTCCGGTTTTCTGGTGGTTTATTGTAGATAGGAGTCTCATGGTCTTTCCTGCCCGGGCTGGCTTTGAACCGCGATCCTCAGATCTCAGCCTCCTGAGTAGCTAGGACTACAGGCGTGAGCCACCAGCACCCGGCATATTTTTTATTTTTATTTTATTTATTTATATTTATATTTTTGTATTTTTTCAGTTATGGGATATATTTACTTATATACATTAAATATATTTTATACATTAAATATATTTATATTTAATGTATGTATACATATATACACATGTATATACATATATATGTATATATATATGTAGCATTTTAAATTTCATGGCATTGTTAAACCAAGTCAATGTAGTGATTATTGAGATTTCTGTATTATAATAGTGAGTTCTAAAAGAAAGGTAGTGCTGCATTAAAACTTCTGTCCTAATCCCACTTGATTTCTTTTTTTCTATGTACATTGATTTCCCCTTTGATTTTTACCAAACTCAAATTTAGAGTCATGCTTCTATTCTATTTTTGGCAGAAGCATTTTCACTTAGAGGAAATTTTGCAGTCAGCAACATTGATTTAAAATAGTGTATGTCTAGTGATGCAGTTTTTCAGAAGGCTGATACTGATGTTATTTTTTAGTCCATAGTTAGTTGAGCATACTCCAGGTTAGATAGAGCTGTCTAGACATAACAGAAAAGAAGAACCAGAAATATTATAATGATGAAGAAAGGCAGTATGATGAGTTCTTTGACTATATCCTCTTCCACATGTCCAATATTGTGAAGAACATATGCACTATATTGGGAATCACTGTCCCTCTTGGAGGTCCTCCCTTCTGTCAGCCATCCTGAGACATTATAGGGAAAGTTACTAAAACCTGTTGTTGTTTTTTTAACTTTGAAGAAACAGCAATTTGATTCAGTTCAATTTTGAGCCTAATCATTTTATTAAAATATTTTATTTATATGTCACAATAACCTCTGGGAAAAGTATATTTTGCTTTAGTTGCTTTATATAAATTAATTAATAGTGAGATAATTTATCCTACCTAATAGTGGAAAAGTAGGATCTTGTTGGGATTTTTCTGACTCTAAAGTTCATGCTGATTAGCATCATGTTAGATGTATCAGTTAGGATTTGGTCTTCTGCATATGACAGAAATCTGACAACATTTGCATCACCAAATATGGCTTTACTTATTGCCCATGACAAGCTGTGCTATGCATATGCAGATTGTTAATGAAATCCTCAGGACTGAAGCTCCTTCTTGCATTCTTTCTTGCCATCTCTAGCCTGTGACTTTCAGTCTCATTGCTGAATGATGGAAGTTATGCCTTCTGTTTTCAAGTGATCATTCCAAGCACGCAAAAAAGGATGGCCAAAGGAGGAATAATATGATATCCAAATTTAATTATTCTTCTACCTAGTGCCTTTCATAATATGCTTCTATTTGTATTTCATTGATTAAATCTATATCACATGGTGCTTCTAAGTTTAAAATAATTAATTTTCAATCACATTACTGAAATATAATTTAGATGCAATAATATAAACATCTTTTCTTTGCCTCAAAGTACTGTGGAAATCAGGGCCTTCTGTGATCTATCACTTGCACCACCTCTACCAAATTTGTGTTTTTAGTTTGTTTTTCAGCTAGGATCTGACACTTTTGCCCAAACTGTCTCCAGGCTGTAATCAGCTTCTCTATCTCCCAAGTAACTGTGATTACAGGCATATCTTAGGAAGCTAAGCTCAGCATTGACATTCTTTATATACATAGGTGTATGACTTTTGACAAATGCTACATTCATCTAATCACTACTCCACCCAACATAAAACATTCTATTTTGAGGTAGTAACCTGAACTGAGTGTTTCGTTATCTTGGAAAAAAATCAAATTAAGCGAAATGAACCCCACAATAGGGACACAAGTGATTTTTTTTCTTTCTTGCTATTGTTTCTAACTTATTTATAAGGTACCATGTGATTTTTTGTTGCTTTGTATGCCCCTCCCTCACTGTAGAACCCCTGTTTTCACTGTATTTGATGTTGGTATAATTTGGGGAGGGGAAGGGAAAAAGCAAATTGTTTAAATAGGGATACAGATTGACCCATTGCAACAATGAGATGTACAAGATGCATGTTAAAAAATGAACTTTACAATTTATGCAAGTGTGGGGGTGAGGGTGGGTGGGGGGGTGTAGCTGAGGAGGTGGGAGGGAAGGGATGGTAGGGGAAAACAAAGGAGGAGGAATGTACTCATTACTTTGCTCAAACTGTAACCCCTCTGTACAGTATTTTCACAATAAAAAACTTAATTAAAATCAAATTGTATAGGTAGACAATAGTCAGAACATGCCACACTAAATTTTAGTATTGAAGTATTTAAATAATAGAAAAGGATTAGAAAACATGAAATAACCATATATTAGGAAAGCCATCAGTTACAGAAAACCAGACAGCATGTACTAGTCTCACAGACTTATTATGTCTCCATTTCTTTTTTTTTTTAATTGTCAAGGTGATATATAGAAGGGTTACAGTTACATAAGTAAAGTAATAAGTACATTTCTTGTCAAATGTGTTACCCCTTCTCTCATTTTTCTCCCATTTTTCCCTCCTCTCAACTCCCCCTCCCCCTGCAAGTTGTACAGATCATTTCCAACATATTGTCTTGTGAATATCGCTGTTGCATTGGTTCCCCCACCTTGCCCTTTGTCTCACCATTCTGTTGTTCCCCTTCCCTTCCCTAATTCAAATAAACATATACAATACCAGGGTACCAAAATCAAATAACAACAGGGGATATACCATACGGCAAGAACATACAAAAGAAACAAAAAATCACATAGTACATTAAAAATAACAACAAAGAAAAACATCTTGTGTTCATGTCTTGGTGTTCATTTCACTTAGCATCATCTTATATGGTCATATGTACACCGCTATTGAGGTATTCGTTCATCTGCTAAGATTATCCTAGACATATAAAGGAAACCATGGGACCTATGTTTTTTTTTTCTTTGTGCTTATGTGGTGCTGAGGAATTGAACACAGGGCCTCAGGCATGCGAGGCAAGCGCTCTACCACTGAGCCACCTTCCCAGCCCCAGGACCTATGTTTCTTTGGGTCTGGCTTACTTCACTTAAATGATTTTTTCTAAGTCTTTCCATTTCCTAAGAAGTGGGGCGGTGCCATTCTTTCTGATGGAAGCATAGAATTCCATTATATATATGTTATATATAATATATATATTTTATATATCATGTATATACATATCTATAGATACACATAAGCGTATATATATATATATATATATACACACACATATATGCATATAGATAGATAGACATAATTCGATAAACATAGTTGTTCTGGTAGCATTAGTATGGCCTTGTTTGTGATCATTTGGGTAAATGCCCCAAAATGGGATTGCTGGGTCATAGGGGAGCTCTATGTGGAGTCTTTTGAGGAACCTCCATATTGCTTTCCAAAATGGTTGAACAAGTTTACACTCCCACCAACAATGCAGTAAGGTTCCCTTCTGGCCACATCCCCTCCAGCATCTGTTGTTAGAGTTCTTCATTATAGCCATTCTAACTGGGGTGAGGTGGAATCTCAATGTAGTTTTGATTTGCATTTCTTTTATGGCTAGAGAGGTTGAGCACTTCTTCATGTGTCTATTAGCTATTCTTATTTCCCCTTCAGAGAAGTCTCTCTTTAAGTCTTTAGCTCATTTATTTACCGGTCAGTTGTTTCTTTGAGGATTTGTTGTTGGGGATTTAATTTCTTTTTTTAACCAGTGCCAATTAATCTTTACTGAAAAAAGACATACATGGGCTAAGCATTTATTTCCTCTAATATGTTCTTTCACTAAAGTTAAATTATTGTTATTTCCATTCATGTGTTTACCATTTGCTTATAATCCAGGCTAGATACAGAACTGGCTTTGCTTGTCCTTGGGGAGGCTGCCAAATTGAACATGGCCTGCTTGAAGACTTTAATGGACCTAATGAAAGACTTTCTTTCAAGCATTTTGTCTATTCAAAGTCAGGTAACCTATGGCTAATTTAGTTGAGGAATAGAATTATATTTCATTTGTGCCATTATTTAAATTGTATTTCATAGTAGGATATACAATATGTACAACTTTATAATCATAGCTTTAATGTGCATATACTATAACAATATACATTATTATAGTTTTATTGTCATTATATATTATTAAAATTTCTATTTTACTGACATTAATATTCTTTGTCATTACATTTGATTAAAATTTGTATTTTAGTGGAAGTGATATTTAACTCTTTACTATTTAACATTAACTTTGTTCCTAATTGTTCACAGATAACAAAAAATTATGTTTTGTTTTGGCAGTGTTGGGTTTCAAATTCAGGATCTCACACTTGCGAGGCAGGTGCTCTACCACTTGAACCTTAGCCCATGATGGAGAGTAGTGTTCACAGGGCATTTTTAAACATAAAATTTTATCTGCATTTATTACAAGTTTTTGGATTAAATAAAGTCAAAATACTGAAAGACTATAAACATTTGTTAAAGATTTTTGGGTAGAGAGTGTAACAGATATTAAGCTGATACAATACTTGATTTTTAAAAAAAATTTATTGTCAAGGTGATGTACAGAGGGGTTACAGTTATATAAGTAAGGTAGTGATTAAATTTCTTGTCTAACTTGTTACCCCTTCCCTCATTTTTCTCCCTCTTTCTCCCCCCAACCCCTCCAAGTTGTGTAGATCATTTCCAACATATTGTCTTGTGAGTATCGCTGTTGCATAGGTTCCCTCTTTGTCCTTTGTTTACCATTTTGTTGTTTCCCTTCCTATCCTGAATAATACTTGATTTTAACCAATCGTAGCTGAGATCTTTTGTAACAGATGCTCAAATTCTTCTCCAAAAGATGTCATTATTTTGTTTTCCTATGAAATACATATTAAACTAGTAAATAGTAGAAAAGATTATTTTCTAATGTGCTATAGAAAGGAACATTTTATTTGATTAGTTTACATTCCATTGATTGAAAAGTTCTTTTTTTAAAAAAAAACTATGTTTTACTAGGGTTTTAACTCAGATTCTAGTTCTGGCTAAATCTGTGCTCTAGCATTTCAGCCGTAGTTCAGCATCTGTTTGTTTCAGTTTTTACAGATAAAGTTTCTTGCTTTTTTTTACTAGCCTATCTCTGACTATAGTCCTCTGACTCTTCTTCTGTGGGGCTTGAACTCTGGGCTTGGGCGCTGTCCCTGTGCTCTTCAGCTCAAGGCAAGCCCTCTACTGCTTGAGCCACAGCGCTACTTCCCGTTTTCTGGTGGTTTATTGGAGCTAAGAATCGCTAGGACTTTCCTTCCCCGGGCTGGCTTTGAACTGTATCCTGAGATCTCAGCCTGTTGAGTAGCTAGGATTATAGGCGTGAGCCACCGGCGCCTGGATGAAAACATTTTTTGTTTTAAATATAATGTATATAGGATTTAATCATAATAGGATATATTTTCATTACCTAATATTTTTTATTTCAGGAAGAAAGCTATGAGAAAGATTGTCTTTCTTGGGCCTGGAATATAGTCTATGTATACACAACGATTATTGCAGAAATCTGCTTGTATGCAGCTACTTCTGATTTGCGAAAAACTGCTTTAATTGGGTTCTGCTACTGTAAGAGTGCACAAAAATCTTATTTCCCAATGGAAAAATCAGAACACCGAGAATTACGGGAAACAAGTATTTTAAGTCTTTTGGAGTATTTCTCTTCAAAATTGTCAGATAATTGTAAGTAAGTTACTTTTCACCTCAATAAGAAATATTTTCTAAGTGTCCCTGTCTACATATAATACTAAACTTTCATCTAGAAGTGAGAAATATCCTCAAATCCAATAGGACATCGTAGGGGCAATATTTTATAAAGTGGAAATTTTTTTACCAATAATTTTGAAATAACTGAAGTATAGGCTAGACTTGGTTGATTTATGATTCAAATAATGTAATTTGAAAAGAAAAGGTATCTTCAGGAATTGTGATGGGTATATAAAGTTAATCTTCCAGGTTTGTTCTTTTCCCCTAAGGATTTTGTTCCTTCCCCATATTCTCAAATCACCCACTGTTTCTTGTCCTTCCCTTGGAGGATTTCTCTTCCATCCTCACTCAAATACTGTGATACATTCTCCACCCCATGTTCTAGTGCTCAGTCACCTGTGTTGCAAGTGGTTTTTAAGTAAACTGCAGCAGGTATTAATTTTACTCTTAAAACCTTGTTCACACATCTAACATTACTATCAATATGCTTTTGATTTCATTAACAGACAAACAGTTACTATTCCATCCTGTATTGCTGTAATTCTTAAATTTTATTGTCAAAGTGATGTACGGGGCGGGGGGTTTACAGTTATGTAAGTAATGAGTACGTTTCTTGTTGAACTTGTTACCCCCTCTCTAATTTTTCTCCCACTTTCCCTTCCCCCACGCCCCCCCTCCCAGTTATACAGATCATTAGTTGTACCGATCATTTCCAAAATATTTCCTTGTGAGCATCACTGTTGCATTGGTTCCCCCTTTGTTATTGTTATTCACTTTTCCTTCCCTCATTCAGATAAATGTATATATAATACCCATGGTACCAAAATCAAATACAGTGACAACAGGAGATAAACCATAGGGAGGAAAATAGAAAAGAAACAAGAAATCACATAATACATTAAAAACAACAGCAATAAAGAAAAAAATCTCTTGTGTCCATATCTTGGAGTTCATTAAGGGGCTTTTTTTTTGGCGGGGGAGGGGGAAGGTGCTGGCCCTGGGGAATTAAACTCAGGACCTGGGAGCTGTGCCTGAGCTTTTGTGCTCAAAGATAACATTCTACCAATTGATTCACAGCTCCACTTTTGGTGTGTGTGTGTGTGTGTGTGTGTGTGTGTGTGTGTGTTTAATTGGAGATAAGAGTTTCATAGACTTTCCTGCGTGGGCTAGCTTCCAAATTCAATCCTTAGATCTCAGCCCCCTGACTAGCTAGGATTACAGGTTTGAGCCATTGACAACCAGTTTAACACATGATTTTTTTAAAGTTTTTTCCTTCCTTCCTTCCTTCCTTCCTTCCTTCCTTCCTTCCTTCCTTCCTTCCTTCCTTCCTTCCTTCCTTCCTTCCTTCCTTCCTTCCTTCCTTCTTTCCTTCTTTCCTTCCTTCTGGATCTTCTTATGTAGCCTATGCTAGTTTTGAACTCATTTCCTCCTGCTGCATAGTACCATACTCAGTTAAAATCACTTTATTAAGATGGGCCATATTAAAAATTTTATTTCTATCACAGACTTATTTTTGAGAAAAGGCATTAAAATATCTAAAAACTTGGAAAAATACTTGGTACATAGTAAAGACTAAACTGTTAGTATGTGTTATGGTTAATTACTTAATTTTAGCCCCATTTTGTTAATGATTATGATGTTAAAGCATCAATATAGATGGATTTTTCCTAACAGTTATTTTTGTGTACTTGGAGATTATTATTTATACATTAAGATATAAATGACAGTGATAAATACCTTATATATGATATATGACTTTTTTCTTTTATTTGGTCGGTCGTGGGGCTTGAACTCTGGGCCTGAGGGCTGTCCTTGAGCTCGTCAGCTCAAGGCTAGCACTCTCCCATTTGAGTCACAGTGTCACTTCGGTTTTCTGATGGTTTATTGGAGAAAAGAATCTCACAAACTTTCCTGTTTGGAGTGGCTTTGAACCTTGATCTTCAGATCTCAGCCTCCTGAGTAACTAGGATTACAGGAATGAGCCACCTGAGCTCAGTTATAACTTTTTAATGAAGATATCAATCAGTGCTTTTCAGAATCATTTTTATGTAAAATCTTCATTGGAAAAAATAATTTTAGTCATAGTTCTGTGAAAGAATTGTTACAAGAGACTAATGATTTCCTTGAAGATAATTTTCAGGTGATCTTATCTGACATAGCAGCATAACCCCAAACATTCAGGGGAATGAATGGACATACTTAACATATCTATTTTCCACTCAGAGATTATGTATCAGGCTAGATTTTTACATAAAATCAGATATTTATTAATAATTCAGTATTAATATTAATTCAAGTAAAGTTTCTGGCCAGTAACTGAAGTGCTGAGTTTCAATTTTTTCCTAAATTATTATTTTTTTAAACTTTATTTTATTGAGAAGATGTACAGAGGAGTTACAGTTACATGAGTAAGGCAATGAGTCCATTACTTGAACATTTTTACCCCTCCCTTGTTGTTCTCTCACTATCCCTTCCCTCCCCCACTCCACCTTCCCCGCCCCTCCCCCCAAGTTGTAAAGTTCATTTCCAATATACTGCCTTGTGGGTATCATTTTTGCCATGGGTCATCCTGTGTCCTTGTTTCACCATTTTGTTATTCCCCTTCCCCTCCCTAATTCAAATAAACATATATACAATACCAGGGTACCAAAATCAAGTACAGTGACAACAGGGGATATGCCATAGGGGAAAGAACATACAAAAGAAAGAAAAAAAAATCATGTAGCACATTTAAAACAACAACAACAACAAAGACCGACCTCTTGTGTCCATATCTTGGGTTTCATTTCATGTAGCATCATCTTATATGATTCTATGTACATAGTGTTTGAGATTCTCAGCTCATCTAATAAGATTATCCTATACGTGTACTGACTATTGCAAAAAAGGAAAACCTAAATGGGACTTAAATTTCTTTGGGACTGGACTGGCTTACTTCACTTAATATGATTTTTTTCCAAGTCTTTCCATTACCTAACAAGTGGGGTGGTGTCATTCTTTCTGATGGAAGCATAGAATTCCATTATTTACATATATATATATATATATATATATATATATACACACATATATACATCTCACATTTATTTGATTAATTAATTGATTTTTTTGCTGGTATTAGTGTTTGGGTTTTAAACTCAAGATCTTGTATTCTCTAGACAGGTCCAATGTCAGGGCTTGAATTGTGAGCCTCATGTTCTTCTTTCTCACATCTGGTATTCTACCACTTGAACCATGCCCCATCTCTGTTTATTTTTGTTTATCTGATTTATTTTTTGTGTGCCAGCCCTTGGACTTGAACTCAGGGACTGTGTGCTGTCTTTGAGCTTTTTTGTTCAAAGTTATCACTCTACTACTTGAGCCACAGCTTCATTTCTGGCTTTTTGATGGTTCATTGAAGATAAGAGTCTCATGGGCTTTCTTGCCTGGGCTAGCTTTGGACTGTGATTCTCAGATCACAGCCTCCTGAGTAGCTATGATAACAGGTGTAAGCCACTGATAGCAAGCTCCCCATCTCTGTTTATTTTGAAACTCACAGACTTCTCTGCCTGGACTGGCCTCAAACCACAATCCTCCTGGTTTCTTCTTTCTGAATAGTTAGTTGACATATGTCACTAGTGCCTGGCCCAACTCATTTTGATCCTGGTTATTTTTTCAGATACGGTTTCAATTTTTACGTAGGTGCGCAGTGGATTATGTGCTTTTCCACATAGTTGATGGAAGCAGTTGCATGTCACCATATTCAGCTTCTTCAATGAAATTGAGTCTCATGGACTTTTTATTTACCTGTGACCTCTCAGTCTCAATCTTTCACCTAGCTGGGATAGCAGGCATAAGCCGCCAGTGTTAAGCTTCAGTGATTTATTTAATATAAATTTCTATTTATGTGAATTACTATCACATATGCATTTAACCTTTGGTTGAGACTCGGAACCTGATTTCATTATTCTTTTTATGAAGTGCCATCCCACGTACCTTTCAGTGTAGTTGGGCTGTAGGCAGGTTTGAATATTTGGAACTACCTGAAAAGATCCTGATTTGAAATTGAAATTGTGGCAGCATGGTCCACAGAGGAGATTATTTTGAGCTTCAAATATATGAGGGAAGGTGATAAAAATTTTATTTAAGCACACAGAACTTTTGCTTGATCCTTTTGAGATTCCAATTTTGAGAAATAGTTTGTCTTCCTGTATTATAGAAGATAATTCCAATGAACTTTTATTGAGTTCTAACTATGCACTTTCGAGGCATTTAACTTATATCACATAACTCGTAAGTCATTATAACAAGACGATAACATAGCCATATCTCCATTTATAGATGAGAAAACTGAGACACTAGAGTATTGCAATTAGTCAGTGACACATTTGAGACATAGCATAGGAAATCTGGTTTCAGTATACATGCTGATATCTACCTCACTATACTAAGCTAGAGAGGAGAGTTAAAAATTTCAATTTTCTTAAATTGCCCATCTGTGTATTTTAAAATTCAAAACAAGTGAGAAATTCTGTCCCCTACAGCACTGTTGATGACTGCCTCTACAGACTGTCATGAGGGGTCCTTCTTCCCAATGCACACTCTGGGGTCTGGTTCTAGAGTTTTGGATTAGTTGTTTTCCAGGATTTTCATCATTGAACAAGTTCCACATGATAGCTTGTTAAAACTTCGAACTTTTTTTGTTTATAATGATGATTAAATGAGTTCATTACAGAAGAAACATGTCTTACTACAGGCCTGTATGAAGTTTGCCAGTCAATATTACTTATAATTTTACAAAGAGAAAGACATCTTTGTATGATATCTTTAAAACACAAAACACAATCTTCCTGTATTCCTATTTTGTGGTAACAATGCTAAGTGATAGACTTCAGAATCTGTGATAACAAAACTTGGAAATTATATATTCTGTAGGGAACCAGCGGACACTGATTTTAGTGTCTTTTGTATGAGAAGGTGAAATGTTTAACAATAGATAATGAATTGCAGGACCAAAAATATCTTAGAGTAGTAAACCTATTTTCAATCATGTAGTACTAATTTAATGTGCAAATCTCTTCTAGATCATTGTCCAAGAGTGAACAGTTCAATTTCCGCAACAAGCAACAAAAATGTGAAAGTCTTCATTTCCCAAAGCAGGTCATTCCATTTTTGGACTCTGAAAAATACTTCATTATATTACCTTTAAATCTTTCTTTCAAAATCTCCAAACCAGTTTAAATTTTGCCTAGAGGCAATTTAAAAATTCTCTTTTTTTCTCCATGGAGACTTTCAAATATTTGAAGACAATTACTTTGGTTCCCTCTCCTCATCTTCACCTTGCCATTATCTCCCAACTTTGTGCTTACTGACAATTTCCTGGTGGTATTTTTTTTGTAGCACATGAGACACATATTTTCAGCATGATTTAGAATTAATTTCTTAAATTTGTAATATTGGCATCTGTCTGAGTTTACAATAATTTATGCCACTTTTATGAAGCCACGTGGAGACATGAGTGGGACCCAATTACATTTTCATTCAATGTTGCCTCTGAATGGGAAAAGTAAATATGACATTCTCCCTCTCATTTGTTTGAGAGAGTTTTTTCCTTCAACTGGTTCTCCAGTGATAGCAGTGAAGGAAATATATGTCACATTTATAAAAATAACTGCATACTTCATTCTTATTCAATTTACCTTAGGAAAAAATCATTAGCACAGAGGAATGATTCCTTTTTCAAAAAATAAACGAAAATGAACTAGAATCTTAGAAAAATTAAAACTTTTAATGATACTTTAAATCTTTCATATACCTTACTTTGCTGAAGATTATTCAGGGAAATATCTAGCAATGAGATGTGTTTCTTACACATGGGTAATACATAAATCCTATAAAAATCCATATGCATGTTAGCAACAGATCAAAGCAATGTCATATGTCACAATGCTGTGTGCTGACTGGCATTTTTGTATTTCTATATAGTATTTTACAGCCTGGCTGAATTCTATTGTTAGATTCCAAAAGATTTTTATGAGTGCATTAGGATTTTATTTTTTTGATAGTAATATTTATTTTTCATATTTTTATTGTCAAGGTTACAATTATGGGGTTACAATTGCATATGTAAGGTAATAAGTACATTTCTTGTCAAACTTGTTACCCCTTCCCTCATTCTTCTACTTTTTCTCCTCCACAACCCCCCCTCATACTTTGTCTCACTACTGTGTTGTTCCCCTTCCCTTCCCTAATTCAAATAAATGTACATACAACACCAGAGTACCAAAATCAAATACAGTGACAACAGAGGATATGCTGTAGGGGGAAGAACATACAAAAGAAACAAGAAAAATCACATAGTACATTAAAAACAACATATTAAAGATCATGACAACTTCAGGCAGAGAGGTGTACTTATTATTTCTTTGATAATTTTCTTTATTGAGTCCATGTATCATGTTGAAAAGAAATGGTGAAAGCAGTCATCCTTAGAGGAAACCTTTCAGTTTTTTTGTTTTTTTTTTTTACTAGTAAGTAAAGTTAGTTGTGAATTCTTCATAGACAGCTTCCATTGTTGTTGAGGGATTTTCTTCCATTACTAATTTTGAGTGTTTTATCATGAGCTACTGAATCTTGTCAAATACTTCTTTTGCATATATTTAGAGAAATATGTGGTTTTGGTTTTCCTTCTGTCAGTGAGCTTGTGGATCAGATCTTGCTTTTCAACTCCACAATTTCTATCTTTCTCATTTAATTTTCCATAATTATATCACATGATCACTGGCAATAGGAATGGAATCATTATGTTTGATTGACAATTCAAGATTTATCTTCAAAGCTATACTGAAATTTGTACACATCTAGAATTTAAATAAGATTGAGATTTTGCTATCAAGGATAAAAAGAAGGAAAAAATTATGAATAGATTGTAGATTTTTAAACACATATTCAACTTAAACTATATTATTAATAAACTAATTTATATGGAAATAATTTAGGGTACATTTGGAATTTCAGCATTGCAAGCATAGTGTTATCAGTCTCTATGGGAATTTTCAATCAGTGTAATTTTATATATATATATATATACATATACATATATATAACCATATATATGTATAACCATATAAGAAACCATAGATATTTATATCAGTATATGACACAATAAATTTCTTTGTCTATACTTGTTTACTAGATGTAGTTACTAGAAATTAAAAACTAGTTTGCAAAATACCTAATGAAATTTCATTTTTGTGTTATGAAATCTCAAGAAAGTAGCTATAAAAATGCTCATTTTGTTCTGCAATTTTCATCTTTCACTTGCTTTGTGATCACTTGTATTATTTTTAAAGTGCTCAATTGGGAAGTAGTTGAAGAATTCAGATATGTCTTGTTCTAGTCCATGACTTCTAGAGAACTTCGTGGTTTTTGTTTTGTTGGTCATTGGGCTTGAACTCTCAGCCTGGGCATTGTCCCTGAGCTCTTCAGCTCAAGATGCGCACCCTACTGCTTGAGCCACAGCACCACTTCTGGTTTTCTGGTGGTTAATTGGAGATAAGAGTCTCACAGACTTTCCTGCCTGGGCTGCCTTTGAATCTTGTTCCTCAGATCTCAGCCTCCTGAGTAACTAGGATTACAAGCACCCGGCAAAACTTCGTATTTTTAAAATGAAGAATACATAGACTATGAATCCAATTATTTCACTCAGTTGTCCTGCTTCATTTTGGGTGTGCTTGTGGGTCTACAACTCATCTGCTCTCTGATGTGTTTGTAGGTTTATAACTCATTTTTCTTTGTCATCCTTTTAGAGAAAAAAATCTATAATTAAAATATCATTGATATCATTTTCCTTTTTATCTTTTCAAATTTAAAATAACATACTATACACAAGATTCAATAAGAAGCCATAAAAATGCTCTCTACAGCCATATTCTGTTAGAAATTATTAAGTACATTAAAAGCAAACTATGGCTCTACATTTTAATGAACTCAGAAAACTAGTAAGCAAACCAAAAATAAAACAAAATAAGTGTGACTAAATTTCTGAACAATGACCCATACTACAAAATATATAGCAAGTTGATCTTTTTAAAGGGATTCCAGTGACATACTTTATTCAGATAAAATTAAGCTTCCTGCTGAAAATTAACACATAGCCAAGTTCAGGGGAAAATCCTAGACTCTAATAAAATGTTACATTTCAGTAAATATCCTGTCAACTTAGTAAATGGCAAAATGAAAATATATACAAATAATAGTTTGACATGTTGTCCTCACATAGCAGAAGAGTATTGTATTCCATCAGATGAACCATTATTCCTCAATTTAAGAATTCCTCAATTTAAGAATCCTCTCTTGAAGACAATCCTAAATTGTCTTCATTGCTCACATTCACTGTGCTACAACTTGGGACACCTGAGCTCCACACAGTGCCTTGTCTTTACTAACAACAGGACAACTCTCCTCTATAGCCTTTGAAACTCCAGCTTTGGTATTCTCTTGGGTCTTTTTTTGTCATAGAATTTGGAGCTAGCATTGATACATTTTAACCCTCATCTAAAGCTTTATTGGTCAATATATGTAAGGGTAAGGATTTTATGATTTACTTGGTGAATAGTCAATCATCCTAATTATATTTATTATATGACACTAAAATTCTGTAATAGTTCAATGTCTAGCATTTGTCTCATAATATTATTTCTTCCTTAACCTTCCAATATGTGCATTAACTAGAGTAAATATCACACAAATCAAGATACAAACTAGAGTTTTATTACATTACTTAAAGGGGGAATTAAGAGGATTTTTAGCTACTTATGGATCTGGCAATGTCCTATATCCTTACAATGTTTTGCTCTGACTTCTCTGCTGGATTTTCATTTCTATACCTGTGGTCTCATTGTGAAAAGGTTTTTTGTTTTGTTTTGTTTTTTGGTTCCAGAATTCACAGACTCACATGGTACTGCAAGGCAGGGAAAAAGAGAAGCAATAGTACTGGTTCTCTTCTTGATTTTAGCATAGAAGAAAAGATTTCCCAGCAGCAGCCCAGAAGATGATCCTTTGTGTAAAACTGATAGGATTTGTCACACAGTCTGTAAGGAAGCCTGGGAAAGTAATGTTTAGTGAAAAGAAAGGCATTTGTTATTACCCATAAGAATTTATTCTCAGGATCTAAGTAAAAACAAATTTTATTTAGAAAATGAGGCTGGTGACATGCAGAAAACTATAGTAATGACTTCCTTTGACAATAGAAAATAGGTTTTATTATCTGTAAGATTTGACAGACATAGTATTAATGATTAGGATAATTACAGTATCTACCCATTTGGAGTTTACCATCTCAAATAACAACGAATATCAGAGGGCCTTGTGGAAGTTTAACAATTTCATTCACAACATCAGTCAAATTACATCATTTTATTTCCATATATACCTTACGACGTCTATGCCATTTTAACATCTCGGACACAAGATCTGTAGAGTCCAATTTGGGCTGAGTTGGTCAAATCTGCAAAACAATACTTTCTGCTTTCTTGTTTATGCTAGAATGTTAAGTTTGGGTGAGAAAGGCCTGGCATAGAATGTGCCAGGGATCTCAGAGCAGCAAGGAGCTGATTGAGGGACGAATATAGGCTCTTTTTTTTCCTTGTCCATTGATTGCAACTTTAGGCTGAATAGAGCCCTAGGAACTGTGAAAAGGGCAGAGAAGAATGGTGTCAGAATATTTGACAATGGGTGGGATTTTTAGATATGATGTATAGGAAGATGAGTCCCTGTGGCTAGATACATGTTTGCTTGCTCTTCCATTTTCCACACCTTGAATAGGGGCTGTATATTGTGGTTCAAGATTGCATTATACTTAGCACACCTGACTAAAAACTCCTTTGTCAACACTGCCTCCTCGATCAATGCTAAATGTGCTGGAGGCAGGGTGGTTAATAGGAATGTTATTAACTATAAAGGTGAGATCTTTCCTCTAAATTTGCCTGAGGATCACCATAAAGTACAAAATAACCAGCACAGAGTATTGCCATTATCTTTTTAAAGTTTAACAAAGTTTATTTAGTAAGTCAGGGCCAAGCAAGGAAGGGGATAAAGGAGCACCCACCAATACACAATGGGTTGAACAAAGGCCTGCAAATAGTACTCCTTGTGCTGGATACATTTATGTCTACTAAGGAGGGAAATTCCATCTAGGCAGGTGATCATGGCACTAAGCAACCTTCAATCCAAAATACGAGACAATGAATTTAGGATAGCTCTATAATTGTATTTGGATGTTACTTACCCAAACTTGGAGACAATGGATTTAGGTGGCTCAAAACTTGTAAGGTTTTGTCTCATGGATGTCTGCTTCTTAGTACCTCCAGAGAGAAATCAGACCTCAGTGATGAAGATGTTGGCTGCTAAATAATCTTTGATGTAGAGCAGCAAAATTAGATTAACCTTTGGAAAGTACATGCATCTACCACATCCCTTTCTTTAGATGCCCAATGAGTTTCAGTTTCCCCAGATGAATCACTTTGTTCAGTGAATAAAAGGTAATTCTCTGAGCAGAAAGGAGTGCTGAAGGTAATTATTTTTGTAAGGTCTAAAATATTCTTACTCTTCCCAAGAAGTTTTCCTGTCATTCCTATGAAAGAAACAATCTAGCTCTGTATAAATGAAAGCGAAAGAGACCCTCTCCTTCTCTCGTTTCACTTATTTCCTAGCATGTTATTATTATTTCGTTTATAGGAATAGGCTGAAATAGCATGCTGGACTTCAAATTTATCTATTTTCTGTGTGTGAAAGTATACTTTCTACCCACATCAATACACTTTGACTTTACTGCTCAAGAATGCTATGAGAATATTCCTTACATTTGTGAAGCAAAAACAATACCAAGTATCCCATTTGATTCAATTATTTGAAATCCATCTAAAACTGAACATAGAGCAAAAAAACCGATGAAACTAGAAATAAATGCAATATCTCTAAAGTACATTCCAACATGCTATTTTGTAATAATACATTTTTTCCAGAGCAAAAGGATATATTTAGATTTCCTATCCAAATTAATTAAGAAGCTGATATATCTACATTTATAAAAATAACTCACCTGGTACTTGTAGCTTCCTATTTTACATGAGCCAGAATTACATTAAAATCCTCCAGTGTGCTTCTGAGTAATTTTTTTTCTCACATTTAATCTGATCTAGAAATAACTATTAATACTCTAGTGTTACTTTCCTCATTATCCTGGCTATTCATCAGGGATAATTTGATAATATGTTCAGAGGTAGAGAAATCACTAATTTAGTCTAACATATCTACTGTGCCCATTATTTGATACTGATATTTCTTAAGATTTTATTGAATACTTATTTCAATATTTTTGTGTGGTTAATGTTAAGTTTTTAATATTATTTAAATTAGATGAGACTTACACAGGCATGTAAGATTTCATATTACATATTGTGCCCATATTTCATATCAATCATTCTTTAGTTAGTACTCATTACATTTTTTGTTATTGGGGGGCTGAGAGGGAAACACTGGGAGAAAGCAGGTGATGAAGTGACATTGTACCAAAGGAAATGTACTCATTACCTCATTTATGTAACAGTAATCCCTCTGTACGTCACCTGTATAATAACAACAAAAATAAAAATAAATTTAAAAAAGGAAAAGAAATGTACTCATTACCTCATTTATGTAACAGTAATCCCTCTGTACGTCACCTTTATAATAACAACAAAAAATAAAAATAAATTTAAAAAAGGAAGTATTTTAGGAAAAAAAGACATTGCCAGATACACATTAGACACCCTGATTTTTGGGCATCCTCACAGGCCTGAAACATAGCATAAGGTGCATGCCTGCCGGGAGAAGTAGGTGATGTAGAAGGCATCAGAGGGCAACCGTAAACAGTTGACAGAGACCTGGAGAAGTTCAGAATTACTGAACTTTAGATCTGCAAGAGAAACAATGGACCCTAACATTAGGCTCTTATCAGAAGGGTACAGAAGGTGGAAAATTTCCCACAGTTGGACTTTAAGCAAGGGAGAAGGAAAGTCTCCACGAGTTCTATTGACTTACAATCTGTCATTCTGCAAAAATACAGATTGATATGAGTTTTGTGGTATGGGCAGTACAGGGCCCCTGCATTTCCTAGCTTGCTCACTGATGCTATGGTAGAGAATTGTCTTAAGAGAGGTTCTTATAATCAAACCTATCAGTTTAAGAGTAGAAACCTCTGCATTTTCCTGTCTCCATGCCCCAAAGACCACTCATCTCCATTGGCTAAAAGAGCAACAGCCCTATTGATCAGTTTGGGTGAAAAAACTGGTTTAGGGGTTCCCGGACATAGAACTACATCGTGGGAAATTGCAGAGGGAATCTGAAAACACTGTTGGAAACAGCAGCCCAAATCACAAGACGAGCTGTGTGTGAATATGAGAAGAGATCTGAGACAGAGACCAGTGTACAGGGCATGTGGGACCGACCATTTAGTGCCCAGGAAGGACAACTTGCTTTGGTCTGATTGTTTTCCCCACTTGTAAGAGCCCCAGAGAACTTTGGTAAGAACACAGCTGCTACACAGGCATTTCTGATGTCCACACACACACAGGCAGAGGGAATGTTTCTGGTGCAAAGGACATCTCTTTTTGTAGATGATATGATTCTATAATTAAAAGTTCTGAAACATACCACCAGAAGTCTGGTAGATCTGACACTTTGCAAAGCAGCAGAATACAAAATCAATATATAAAATCTATAGATAGCAGATAAATACCACAAATGTTCAGGCAATTCTTCCTTCTCAATAAACATAGTGCCCCAAAGGCAGGGATTATGGAGCAAGGGTGCTTTTCCCTTTGCTACTAGTCATGCCGTGGCTAGACTCACTGTGTCAGATGCCTTAAAAACTATTTTGAGTGTTTCTCCCAATAGGAATTATTCCTTTAAAGATTTTGGACTATCCATGGAGTGAGGGAGTCTAGTGTTCCCTTTTCTGGACATCCTGCCCATGTCACCAATCTTTCACATTTTCAAAAGCATCTCAAAGTAGCTACTTTTTGGGAGCAATAATAAAAGCCATAAACAGGATAATGGATGAGAGATTTAGTTTAGGACATGAGGGAAAATAACACCAAAATGGCACCAAGGGAGGCAGGTGTAAGCAAAGAAATGTTCACAGGACTAGACATAGTGTTAGAAATTTTGGATACAAGTAACAAAACACAAAGTGACACAGCTGAGCTATCACATTCTGGATCACTTAGGCAACTTGTCTCTCAGAAAGAATGTGAATGTCTTAAAGCCTGTGGGATTTCAAAGAGGTTTTTTTTTTTTTTTTGCACATACTTACAAATATAAAATTATTATTTCCTTTTTTTCCCAAGATAATCTTTGCTAACTTCTCCTCTTTTCCTTCATTTTGTCTTGTAATAGAAATAAACTGTGGAAATTAGTTATTGCCATTGAGATAATCCATATCTTTTCATAGTATGAATTTAGTAAAATTTAAAATAAACCCAGAAATCAGAAGTCTGGTATTTCTTTTTTTTTTTTTTTTTTTAATTTAATTTTATTTTATTTGAGAACATACTGTACAGAGGGGTTACAATTACATGGGCAGGATAATGCATACATTTCTTACCAAGCATTGCAGCCTCCTCCTTTGTTTACCCTTCACCTCCCTTCCCAGCCTCCCCCCTCCCTCCCACCCAATCATACCACCCCTCCCCCCCCCCCCCCCCCCCCCCCCGACATTGTAAAGCTGGTTTTGACATGACATTTTGTACTTCTCATTGTTGCAACAGGTCCACCTGAATCCTTAAACGACTTGTTTGTCCCCATCTCCTCCACATGTTATACTGACATCAAATATAGTGAAAGCGGGGGTTACACTGTGGGGGAGGGACATACAAAGCAACAAAGAGATAATATTATAAATGCGTTAGAAACACATGCATGAAAGAAACAAAAACATTAAAATACATATTTGAGGTTTCGTTTTCCTAACATCACATTATTTGACTTTTTCCGCTAGACTCATACCTATACTAGATATTGCAAATAAGGGAAACCATGGGACCTATGTTTCTTTGGGCCTGGCTTACTTCACTTAATATAATTTTTTCCAAGCCTTTCCATTTCCTAACAAATGGGGAAATGTCATTCTTTCTGATGGAGGCATAGAATTCCATTGTGTATATATACCACATCTTCTTGATCCATTCATCTACTGAGGGGCATCTGGGTTGGTTCCATGTCTTAGCTATGGTAAATAATGCTGCAATAAACATAGTTGTGCTGGTAGCTTTAGTGTGGCCTTGTTTGTGATCATTTGGGTAAATGCCCAAAAGTGGGATTGCTGGGTCATTGGGGAGCTCTATGTGGAGTCTTTTGAGGAACCTCCATACTGCTTTCCAAAGTGGTTGAACAAGTTTACATTCCCACCAACAATGAAGTAAGGTTCCTTTCTGTCCACATCCCCTCCAGCATCTGTTGTTGTTAGAGTTCTTGATTTTTGCTGTTCTAACTGGAGTGAGGTGATATCTCAATGTTGTTTTGATTTGCATTTCTTTTATGGCTAGGGATGTTGAACATTTCTTCATGTGTCTATTGGCCATCCTTCTTTCTTCTTCAGAGAAGCTTCTCTTTAAGTCTTTCGCCCACTTACTTATTGGGCAGTTGTTTCTTTGAGGATTTGTTGTTGGGTGGTTTAATTTTTTGAGTTCCAAGTATATTTTAGATATGAGACCCTTGTCCGTTGTATGGCTAGTAAAGATCTTCTCCCAGTCCGTGGGCTTTCTATTGATCTTGCTAGCTATGTCATTTGCCCTGCAGAAGCTCTGCAACCTTATACAATCCCATTTGTCCAGCCTTTCTTTGATTTGTTGTGTTTCCGGGTCTTTATTCAGAAAATTTCGGCCTGTGCCAAGGAGACCCAGGGTTTCTCCTATTCCATCCTGTAATGTTTTCAGAGTGTCTGCTTTGAGTTCAAGGTCTTTGATCCATTTGGAGTTGATTCTGGTGCAGGGTGATATATAAGGATCTAGCTTTAGTTTTCTACATGTAGTTAACCAGTTTTGCCAGCACCATTTACTGAAGAGGCTGTCTGTCTTCCATTCTATTGTTTTAGCTCCCTTATCGAAGATTAGATGGCTATAGGTCTGTAGGTTCATTTCTGGGTTTTCAATTCTATTCCATTGGTCCTGAGGTCTGTTCTTATGCCAATACCAAGCTGTTTTGATTACTATGGCTTTATAGTAGAGTTTGAAATTTGGTACTGATATTCCTCCAGCAGTGTTCTTTCCGTTGAGGAGCGTTTTTGCTATTCGGGGTCTTTTATTGTTCCATATGAATTTTTGGATTGCCTCTTCTATTTCCTTGAAGAATGAGGGTG